AGCCCCCGGGAGCCGGGATGCTCCAGGCAAGGGCTGGAACCTGTTGGCACCGCAGCGAGGAGCTCATCCCGTGGCTAAAAACGCCACTGGGAAATCCCACAGATAAAAATCCCACTGAAAAATCCCACAGGTAAAAACCCCACTGAAAAATCCCACAGGTAAAAACCCCACTGAAAAATCCCACAGGTAAAACTCTACTGGGAAATCCCACAGATAAAAATCCCACTGAAAAATCCCACAGGTAAAAATCCCACTGAAAAATCCCACAGGTAAAAACCCCACTGAAAAATCCCACAGGTAAAACTCCACTGGGAAATCCCATGGATGGAGATCCACTGGGAAATCCCACAGGCAAAAATCCCACAGATAAAAATCCCACTGAAAAATCCCATGGATGGAGATCCACTGGGAAATCCCACAGGTAAAAATCCCACAGATAAAAATCCCACTGAAAAAATCCCACAGATAAAACTCCACTGAGAAATCCCATGGATGGAGATCCACTGGGAAATCCCACAGGTAAAAACCCACAGATAAAAACCCCACTGAAAAATCCCACAGATAAAACTCCACTGAAAAATCCCACAGATAAAACTCCACTGGGAAATCCCATGGATGGAGATCCACTGGGAAATCCCACAGATAAAAAAAACCCACTAAAAAATCCCACAGATAAAACTCTACTGAAAAGCTCCACTGAAGTATCCCATAGCTAAAAACCCCACTGGGAAACTCTGCTGGAAGATCCCATAGCCAAAAACCCACTGAGAAATCCCACAGGTAAAAACTCCACAGAAAAACCCCATGGCTAAAAATCCTGTTGAAAATCCCATAGCCAAAAACTCCACTGAGAAATCCCATAGCCAAAAAACTCCATTGGGAAACTCCACTGGAAAACCCCATAGCTAAAAACCCCATTGGAAAATCCCATAGCTAAAAATCCCATTGGAAAACTCTATTTAAAAATCCCATAGGTGAAAACCCCACTGAAAAAAATCCCATGGCTAAAAATCCCATGGGAAACTACTGAAAAATCCCATATATCAAATTCTACTGAAAAATCCCATATATAAAACTCTACTGAATAATCCTATAGCTAAAAACCCCATTGGAAAACCCCAAAATCTGCTTTTTTACCCCCTCGAAACCCTGAAATAGGTGCGGGAACAAATCAGAAAGGATGGGTTTAAAGGTTAAAAATAAAAACCCAAATTGTGGCTCCTGTGGTGCCAGGGGGTTTGGAGGGGAAGTTTGGCCGGGAATACCCAAAAAATGAAATTTTGGGAGTGGGGATGGATGGATGGATGGATGGATGGATGGATGGATGGATGGATGGATGGATGGATGACCCATGGAATTTTGGGAACATGAGGATTTTGGGGTCCAGGCACATCCCAAACACACACGAAAGCCAAAGTTTGGATTTGGGATCAGGAAAATTCAAATTCGAACCCAGAAGGGACGGGGAGGGTGAAGGAGGAGCAGGCTACTCCTGATCCCACCCCAACGCCGCCAAATCCTGCCCAAAATTGGGGAGAAATAATCGCTTTTGAGGCCAAAATTCCCTCCAAACACCAACTCCTCCTGCATCCCACCCAGCATCTTCATCATCCACGGGAAACCACCGGGGAGAGGCCCAAAATTCCCGAATTTTCAGAGCAGAGGGGCTCAGCCCCAAAATCAGCGAAGATTTTGGGAGCCACATGGGGCAGGGCAGGAAAAGCAGCCCGGGGAAGGAAAAGCGACCTCCAAAGTGTGCGAAAAGGGGGAAAAACACCAAATAAATACAAAAAGAGACGGACATGTGTCCACCAAATGTGCTCTGAGGGTGAGGAGAAGGGAGAAAGAAAAGGGAAAAAATAATAAAAAGGGGAAAAAGCAAAGCTTGGAACGCTGCAAATCCTAGAAATGCCCCAATTCTCAGCAGCACTTTGGCTCTGAGTTCATGTTTTAAATTTTATTTTATTTTTTTGCGGAGGGAGGAGCCGCTTCAGGTGCGAAACCCCCTCGCAGATGCGACAACTGAACTTCCAAAAAAAAAAAAATCCAAAAAAAATACCCCAAAAAAACCCCACAGCAGCTTCTCTACGCTTGGAATTTGGTTTTTATTCCTGGTTTTTTGTTTTTTTTTTTTGGCTTTACCTGCCCAATCTGTGCGGGGAGCCCAGGCCGGCCCGCGGACACCTGCGTGTTTATTTTGTTTATTTTCCCGAATTTTTGCCCTCGGGCAGGGGGCAGGGGGAGATGCGGGGCTCCAGATGCGGCAGCAGCAGCTCCTGTGATTATTTTTCTGTAGCACTTCAGGCCGGGCCGAGACACAAGAGTGGTCATTCAGTGTCTCCAGATGGCAGGGACGGAGCGCGGAAATGTGAGGACACTCGATCCCATTAAATGTCTGCGCTCGTTCGGGGGGAGGAAACCCGAGAGGGCAAAGAGAAAAAGAAAAAAAAAAAAAAAGAGAGGGAAAAAAATAAAGAGAGAGAGAAAAAAAAGGGAGAAAGAAAAAAGAGAGAAAAAAAAGAGAGAGGAAAAAAAGAAAAAAAAAAAGAGAAAAAAAAAGAGAGAGGGAAAAAAAAGAAAGAAAAAAAAGAAAGAGGAAAAAAAAAAGAGAAAAAAAAAATGAGAGGGGAAAAAAAAGAGAGGGGAAAAAAAAGAGAGAGGAAAAAAAAGAGGGAAAAAAGAGAGAAAAAAAGAGAGAGAGAAAAAAAAAGAGAGGGAAAAAAAAGAGAGGGAAAAAAAAGAGAGGGAAAAAAAAGGCAAAAACAAAAAGGCCTGAGGCAAAAAAAAACGAAAAAAATTGGAAAAAAATCAAAAACTAAAAAAAATTATATATATAAACCCAGCAAAACATCAAAACCCAAATAAACAAGAAAAAACCCAAACAAGCAAAGCAGCGAAGTGGAGGTGGAGAGAAGGACAAGGGGAAAAAAGCGATTTTTCTTGGGCCAGCAGGTGAAAAGGGCCGCGAGGCGAAGGTGAGAGCGCGGCGGGGCTTTGAGGTGTAAAAAGGCACAAAAAAAACCCCCCGAGCCACCTCCGCGTCCCTGCGAGCTCGGGGCACGAATTTACACCGATTTCCCCCCATTTTTCAGCCTCTTCCACGCCGAGTTCCCAGGCCTGGGGATGGAGAACTCCAGGCTGCAAAATCTCATTTAAAACCAGGATTAAACTCCCAGAGTTGAGACAGCGCCGCTTTGCTCCCCTCCAAAGAGATTTTTTTTGGTGTTTTTTTTTTTGTTTTTATTTATTTGTTTTTAAAGCAGAGATATTTCAGGACTTAACTCGGAGCGCTGAAAAAGTGGGACACGCAAAAAAAACCCCAAAAAACCCAAAAAACCATTGCGGAGAGTGCAGTTTTGCGGCGTTTATCTCTCATCTGGAAAAGCGCTCAGCCACTGCCGCCCCTGACAAGCCAAAGGCAGCAGTTAAAGTGTCACTTAACATTCTGGAGAATGTGAAATATATTGTACATTGTCAACTCCCCAAAACCATAAAACTAACTTTATGGACCTCACGTGACTTTTGAGAGCCAGTGAGGGGTATCTGCCTCAGCTCCGGGCGATTTTTACGATCTAACTTCCAGATAAAACCCCCCCTTATCCATTTGACATCTAAATGTCATACCCACTTTTGGGGTAGTTTGAGGAAAAAAAAAAAAAAAAGAGAGAGAGGAAAAAAAAAATAGCGGAAAAAATAGAAAGAAAGGGAAAAAAAAAATCAAATTACCAAGGGGAAGGCGAGCAAATGGTTTGGGATCTGACAGTCCACTTCACATCCCTCTCAAAATCACTTAAGAAGTGCCCAAACATGGGAGAGATTAAAGTTTGGTAAGTTCCGAGTAACTTTGCGTGCCCGAGGTGCCGGAGGCCGCTCCGAGCTCCGCTCCAGCCGCTTCAATCCCAGTTTTTCTCCCTTCCCCGGCCGCCAAATTTGCCGAATTTGCCAAATTTCTGCGAGCGCCACTCTGGGTTTCCGTGTTAAACCAGGGATTAAAGAGGGAAAAGCCCCCCAGGAGCAGCCGAGCTCGTTTTTAGCTCAGAATTTCTGATTTATCGCCCCAAACAAAACCTCGCCCCCGGGACCCTCCGGAGCGCGGCTTGGCGCGGCCTTTGGTACCTCTGCTGGCTTAAAAATTGGATTTTTGGGGTTTTTTTTTACCCCTGGCCGAGCATCCCCGCACACCGTGGGGATAAAATCGCGGTGGGGCAGCTCGGAGCGGCGGAACCTCCTCGGCCGAGGCGTTTTTGGGGCTCTGCGCGGGTTTGGGGGGGCGCGGCTGCCTGGGAACGCCGGGATTTGGGGGGATTTGGCGGATTTTAGCAGATTTTAGCGGATTTTAGCGGATTTTGGCGGATTTTAGCGGATTTTGAGGCATTTCTGATGCCCAGGAGAGGCTGAGGAGCTGCCGGGCACCTCCGGGGTTTTTAGGCTGCGGATTTCGGAGGGGTCGGGGGGGGAAGAAGGCGACTGGGAGCCTTTGTGAGTCGGGGGAAAAACGTTTATTTGACTTCCAGTAAAGCTACAAACAAATACAAAAAGCTTCTTGGCAAATTGCTACCAGGCTGCGAGACATGACAGATGCCATTTTTACACAGAACACCGCATTCACTCTGCCCACTACCACCCGGCTATTACTCACGGCAGAAATATTTCTAATATTTACAAACATCAGAGCACTCCAGCGTCGCTCTCCGCTTTTATACATATTTTTCTTCTATTTTTTTCTTTCTTTTTTTTTTGTATTTTTTCCTTTTTTTTTTTTTTTTGAGTTATTAATCATTGTTATTATTATCAATTTTTAATAGTGAAGTTCACCCACGTCTAACAGTACGCCTTGGAATTAGGCTGGGATTAGAAATCCCGGCCTGGAGTTTGGACTAAAACACAGACTGGACAATTTTAAGACAGAAAGATACAAGAGCTGCTTCTTTTTTTTTTTTTTTTTTTTTTTACTGTTTTTTACTATTTTTTTCCCATTTTTGTTGGGTTTCTTAAAGTGGGGTTTTTTTTTTTTTTTTTTTTTTTTTTTTTTTGCGACTGTAGTGCAGGAACCCCCGATTTTCGCTTAGGCAGAGAAAAAACTCACCCAAGTGCAGTAAACTCGGAAAAAAATGGGGAGGGGGGGAAAAAAAAATTCAAAAAAAAGAAATCCCAGCAACTAAACAACCCAGCGTATCTGTTGTGGATTTATAAATAAGTTAGAACATTCAAAGGGCTCACAGAACACATGCCAGCTTTCCAGAAAGCACCAAGAGCACGGACACAGACATTCAGAAGAACAACGAGAGCAGGAGGAGCATCTGGAAATAAAATTTAATATTTTTTTTTTCTAAACAAACACCAAAAAAACAACAAAAAAAACCAAACCAACCCAAAAACTCCCAAAAGAGAACACGCCACGAGCTCAGTCCTGGGCTAAGGGCACCAACAGGAGCTGGAATTTGGGATAAATCAACCACAGAAGGTGCCTCGCTGTACAGTACTCCGAAATTAAATCTGCGGCCTTTTCTTTATTTATTTCATTATTCACTCGGGGGTTTTTTGTTGTGGTTTTTTGGGTTTTTTTAATTTTTAATTTTTTTTTTTTTTGTCTTCTTCTTCTTCACTTTTTTTGTGTGGTTTTCCCCCCGGGCTGGCGCTGGAGGAGGGTTTCAGGGCTGGAAGGCGCTGCCCGCCGAGGCCAGGCTCATGCTTTTCAGTTTGTTATCCTTCTTCCACTTCATGCGCCGGTTCTGGAACCAGATTTTGATCTGGCGCTCGGAGAGGCAGAGCGCGTGAGCGATCTCTATTCTCCTCCTGCGGGTGAGATATCTATTGAAGTGGAATTCCTTTTCCAACTCCAGGGTCTGGTAGCGAGTGTACGCTGTCCTCGCCCTCTTCCCGTCTGGTCCAGTCATGTCTGGGTAACACGGACAACAGCGGGTTTGCGTTTGCTTTTTCTGCTCGCATTTCATCTTTTTTTAAAATTTTTTTGGCCATTTTAAGCCTATTTTATACGCGCTTTCCCCCCCCCCCACCCCGGTATTTTTTTAAATAGTGGAAAGCTGCGAATTCCCCCCAAATATCAGCAACCCCCCTCCTCTCTCTCCTTTTTCTCCCACCCCCACCTCACACGTGTGAAACCCCCACCCTCGGCCCCTCCAGACGCGACATTCCCCACTCGAGATCCATAATTTAACCGGGGAAGCGCGCTCTGGGAATCTCGGCCCTTTTTAAATATTTTAATTATTTTTTTTTTTTTAATTCCCTGGCTGTTCCCGGGGACTCCTGGCAGGTTTTAGCGCCGCTTTTTTCTCCATCAGAAAAACCAGAATTGAGCGCAGAGAGGGGAGCTGGGGGTGGCTCGTCCCTCCCGCGGGTCTCCTGGCGATTTTTGGGGGGTTTGTCAAGGGCAGCTCGTCAGGAATAAAAGGCAGAAAATCAGAGCCCCATCTGCGCCTCGAGTGCCGTTTTAATGGTCAATTCTTCCCTTTCCGACCCCCCCGCACCCCACCCCGAGGAACACCCCTCTCGCCTCAATTTTTAAATTACCTTTTCCCACCGCCCGCACGGTGCTAAGAGCTTGGGGGGAAAATAAAAAACCCAAAAACGCCGATTTGGCGGCCAGGAGAGCGAAACTAAAATAAAATCGCCCCCCCAGAAACACAGAAACAGAGACCCCCTCCCCAACCCTTCCAGGCGCCAGAGGCAGCTCCAGAGCGAGAAATACAAAAGCAATAAATAGCTGCGATTCTGATCAAAGCGCCTCCGCGGAATAAAAGGAAGGAGAGAGGCGGAAAAATAAAGGGAGTGAGGTTGAAGGGGGGGTTGAGGGGAAAAAAAAAATAGGGTGAAAAAGAGGAAGAAACAGCAGAGAAAAAGAGCGAGGCGGCGGTGGAGGGGTGGGGTGGGGTGGGGGGGGTTGTGCGGCAAAAAATAAACAAGCACAAGGAGGGAAAAAGAAGTAGCTGTACCATGGCTAATGTGAAGTTTCCTCATCCAAGGGAATATCTGAGGTGCCTGCCCTTCTGTCGCTGCCGTGGAGGTCGCGATGGGCTCTGCCTGCGCTCGGGGGATGCTGCTGCTTAGTGGAGTGCCCTCGTCGGCTCCCGAGGACGCGCTGGTCTCGTCTAGTTCTGTGAAATTTGTGTTGGTGCTGCTGGCAGCAGGAGCCTGCTCGGAGGGGGACGGGGCGGGTTTGTCCCCGTGGCTCTCGCTGTTGGAGCAGGGCAGGGAGTCGGGAGAAGATAAGGAGCAGCTGGACGCCTGTCTAAACCTGCTCTCCTGAGCTGGAGAAGGGAAACCGCGGGAGCTCTCGCCCACAGCCCCAAAGTGACTGGAGGAGGCCGAGCGGTTGATGCTAAGGTCCATCCCATTGTAGTTGTAGCCATAAGAGCTGGAATGCATGGTGCTTGAATCTCTGTAAGAACCGTTCATGGAACTGCCGGTCCCATAATTTAGTAACTGATAGTCGGGGCCATTTGGGTAGCGCCCTGAGAACGAGTTTACAAAGTAAGAGCTCATTTGGGTTATTTTGGAGGGCTTGATTTGTGGCTCGTGGTCGTTATAACCCCGTGCTTGACGATTTATGATGTATTAATGAATTATAGCGATGCACTGTACTTCGTTTTTGCTATGTATGCGGCCAAATATGGGGGGAGGGTGGGGGGTGCGTTTGGGCGTCACGTGCTTTTGTTGACCAGTCGTAAATTCTCGCTGATGACCTCAGGAGGTAATTCATGCTCTATGGTTACAAATAATGACGAGCGCGGAGCCGTTTTAGGCCCAAAGTCGCCCCAAATCCGCCGCCGCCATCGCCCCCCGCCTGGGCGGAGCGCGCCACCTGCCGGCCGCGCCGCGGCAGCGCAGCCGCGCGGGGCCCCCCCAGTTCTCCTCCTCTCCCCCCAAAAAAAACCCCAAAAATTCAAAAAATCCTCGTCGCCTTCGCTTTGATTCAGCTCGGTTTGGATGTTCAAAAAAAACACCAAAAAAAATAGAAAAAAAAAGGGGAAAATTCGCGGTGGGCAGCGAGGAGAAGCTGCGGTGCGTCCTGCGGGGCCGGGAGGGGTCCGGGCGCCCCCCACCCCCGTTCGGGGTTTTGCTGGAGAATTTTTGGGTTTGTGGCGTTGGAAAAGTTTAGGAGGAGGTTCTGGGTGCCGGCGAGGCCTCTGGGGGTGTCCGGAGTTTGGAAGGGGTGAAGAGGAGCTGCGGGGAATTGAATTTTGGGGTGGTTTCTTCTCCGCGGTTGTTTTGGGCAGGAGAAGTCGAGGTTCCTTCAGCGCGGAGCTCGCACCTCAATTCTGGAAGGGGAAAAAAAAAATACCGGGGGGAAAAAAGAGGTGGGAGAAAGGAAAAAGAGGCGAAATCCGGCCGGTGGGAATGGTTGACAAGGTCGCTTTAATTTAGGATGTTCCCGCTGCTGAGCATTTCCACGTCCTCTTTGAGCCTTGAGCTGTCTGCTTTTTCCTTCCCGTTTGTTGACCTGCAAGGAACATCGGGGAGCAAAAGCGCTCGGAAATTGGGGCAAAACGTTGGGAAAGAGCTGGGCTTTTTAGGCATTACTTTCTTTTTTTTTTTTTCCCTCTCCTTCTTCTCTTTTCTCTGTGTCTCTCATTTTCTCTGTGTCCTTTTTTTTATTATTATTTTTATTAATTTTTTTTTTTTCCCTCCTCCTCCTCCTTCCGAGGCAGTTCAGGAATTTCATGTGCTCGCCTGCAACTCGTTGGGAGCGATGCGCCATATTGAAAGTGACATATAATTATAATAATTACGGGCAATGAAAAGCGTGGCAATAATAGTAAATGTCCTACAGCTGTGAAGCTTCTGCATGAATTGATTTTAAAAGTGAGTGGCATTAAAAGCGGCTCGTGGCGCGGGGGGGACGCGCTCCCACCCGGGGGCTCCTGGTGGCCACGAGGTTCTCTCCTCGCCTTTTCCTCCTTTCCAGCCCCAAATCCCCCGGCTGATAAAAAAGCGCCTCTGCCCTCATTCCATCGCCCCGGAACGCGGGGGAAAAGTTGGAGATTTCGCAAGAAAATTCCTCGCTGAGAGCACCAAACCTTCCCCCGTCCCATCCCCAGCCAAGCCAAGCAGCCGCTCGCGAGAGAAAAATCAAAATCTGCCCTTTCCAAACACCTTAATTCAGATTTTTTCCCACCTTTTTTTTTCACCCCCCCACTTTAAACCGACGCTCACTCCTGGCACTGAGAATTTATTTTTTTTTCCGGGGTAAATTCTTCAGAAATCTGAATTTTTAAATTTTTTTTTATTATTCTTTGCGCCACGTTTCTCTTTGGTTTTTTTTGGGGGGAGCAGATGTTTGAAAGATGCTGGGCAAATGTTAAATGTTGGGTATCTCGGGTAGACAAATGAGAGCGCGTTTTTGCCCGTTTCCGTGATTTATTAGGGAGATGGGACGGCGTTTCGTCATAACTCTTTGTACTGTAACAATAAAAAAAGAAAAGAGAGGGAGAGAAAAGAGAGAGAGCGGTGCTGGAGGCAGAAATGTCAGCCAGGAAATACCGCGGGTGAAAGGGCTCCCATCGCAGATTACAGCCCAAAAAAGGGGGGGAAAATCCGATTTTTGCGTCCGCTGTAACTTCCGTGCGCTCCGAGTTGCGCGGCCGGGCAGATCGGGGGGTTTTGGCAGGCAGAGGGGAGCGAAAATCTCCTTTTCACCCCTCGAGAATCCCCCTGGAAAAGGGAAAAATCAACAGAAACGCGGCGCGAATAATGACAGGGGAGGGGTGGTGCGGGTGAGATCCAGGACTTGGCTTTTATTAGAGAATTCCATGGTCATACCTAAGACAAACTCCAAACACAACACGTACAAAAATTAATAAAATAGAACTTTCTGTCGTTGTTCTTTTTTTTTTTCCCCTTTTTTTTCCCCCCCTTTTTTTTTTTTTTTTTTTAAGCCTTGTAGGTAGTACTCGTTCTTTCAGTAGATTTGTTTTCCTTTTAAAAATAAAAAATAAAAAGGCAAAAAATTAAAAAAAAAACAACAAACAAAAACACCCCAAAACTAATCACAAAGAACCTCAGGGTTTGATTAATTTACCAAAGAAGTAAAAAAAAAAAAAAAAAATAAAAACAAAAGAAAATTTAAAAAAACCCCCAACTTATGCCAACCGTGCATGAAACATTTTTACAAAATTAGGACAAGAAACACCCCAAATGACATATATTGCAGCACTTCCATTAAATACAAGAGTTAGCAGATTACTAACAGTGACACCAAGGGTAGAAACACGGCTAGGAGTCCTTTTTTTTTTTTTTTTTTTTTAATTTTTCCCCCCTTTTTTTTCTTTCCCTTTCTTTCCCTCCTCCTCTCTCTCCATCTCTGCACTTTTTAATTATTATTATCATTATTATTATTAAATTTCTTGTGGGGGGGGCGGAGCGGGAGGGAAAGGGAGGTGTGGGAAGGGCAGAAAAACTCAAAACGCGACTAAAAGCCTGAATTTTTTTTGTTGTTTTTTGTTTCTTTCTGGACAAAATCATCGGGAATTGGAGTCCGGGGCTTTGGTAGCCCAAACTTTGCGGCCACAAAGTGTCAAAAAATCCCAGCAAGGAGCGGGATTTTCCTCACCCCCCTCCTTACATTTCAAATTTTTTTAATCGCTTTTTGCGCCTTTTAAATAACTTTTTTTTTGCTGTTGTTGTCGCGCTTTTTTTGTTGTTTTTCTCTGGGTTTTTTTTTCTCTGTTTTGTTGTTGTTGCTGTGGGATTTTTTTTTTTTTAATTTAATTTTTTTTTTTTATTCCGCCGTTCACTCGGCCGCTTTCTCCTCCTCCTCCTCGGCGCTGAGCTGCGAGGAGCTGAGCAGTTTATTCTCCTTTTTCCACTTCATGCGGCGGTTCTGGAACCAGATTTTGATCTGGCGCTCGGTCAGGCACAGCGAGTGCGCGATCTCGATGCGGCGCCGCCGGGTCAGGTACCGGTTAAAGTGAAATTCCTTCTCCAGCTCCAGAGTCTGGTAGCGGGTGTAGGTCTGGCGGCCCCGGCGGCCGCTGGGCCCGAAGGAAGAACCTGCGGGGGGAAAAAAGCAAAAAAAAGGGGGAAAAATTTAAAATATAGCGTAAAAACAAAAAAAAAATAGGGGATAAAAAATAGGGAATGGGAATAAAAAAAAAAAGAGAGGTGGGATAGGGGGAATGGGGAAAATAGGGGTGGAAATAATGAGGAAAATAGAGAGAAATAGGGAAAATTAGGGGGAATAGGGAAAAGAAGGGGGCAATAGGGGGAATCATGAGGAAATAGGGAGAAATAGGGAAAATTAGGGGGAATAGGGAAAATAAAGGGGCAATAAGGGAAATAATGAAAAAACTAGGGGGGAATAGGGAAAATTGGGGAATATGGGGGGATAGGGAAAATAGGGGGAAATAGGGGAAATTAGGGGGAAATATGGGGGAATAGGGAAATTAGGGGGGAATAGGGAAAATTAGGGGGGAAATATGGAGGAATAGCGGAAATTAGCAGAAAGTATGGAGGAATAGGGAAAATTAGGGGGAAAATAGGGAAGAATAGGGAAAATAGGAGGGAAATTGGGGGAAATTGGGGGAAATGGAGGGAATAGGGCAAAAATAAGGGGGGGATAGAAGAAAATAGAGGGGAAATAGGAAAAAAGGGGGAAATAGGGAGAAAATAGGGGGGAAATGCGGGGAAATAGGGGGAAATGGGGGAGAATAGAAGAAAAGAGGGGGAAATAGGGGGAATAGGGTGGAATAAGGGGAAATAAGGGTGGAAATAGGGGGAAATAGGGGGAACTGGGGGGGAAACAGGGGAAATAAGAAGAAATGGGGGGAAATAGCGGGAAATAGATGAAATAAGGGGAAATATGGGGGGATAAGTAGAAATAGGCTGCAAATAGGGGGAAAATAAGGAGGAATAAGAAGAAATAGAGGGGAAATAGGGAGGAATAAGAAGAAATAGAGGGAAATAGGGGGAAATAAGGGGAAATGGGGGAAATAAGAGGAAATAAAAGGAAATGGGGGAAAATAAGAGGAAATAAAGGGAAATAGGGGGACACAGGGCAGGGGTGAAGGGGGAAGGCGAGGCTGATTTTTGGGGTGCTGCGGGGGGGGCCGCGCCTTCCCAGAGCCCTGCGCAGCTCCGGGACAAGCCCGGCCGGGCAGGGGGGGTCAGAGCCGGGCTTTGGGCAGCCAGACAAGGCCGGATCCATCTTTTTATTCCGGGATGAGGGATCGCAAGGTGTTCTCCACCCCCACCGCCGCCTCCCAGCCTGCCGGCCGGCCCTAATAGATCGGGGCATTTAAGCAATAATGAAGTGAATCGATCTGCCCAAAGCCCGCATTAAAGAGGACACAACACTCCATGTCCCCGCGCTAATGGACATCAATTTGGAACTTAAAAGGCAACAAATGCATCTAAACATGGGCAAGGAGAGCAGCGAGGCTTTTATTGTTTTTCTTCCCCCCTCCCCCGTTTAGCTGATTTAAAAAAATATTTATTATAATTCGGATGGAGGAAACAGCACTTAAAGAAGTCGTATATCACCGAAGAGGGGGGAAAGAAAATGAGGAAAATCCTCCCCAGGCAGACTTTTCATTAGGTGCGAGTCGCATTAAAAATGCAACCGACTGCCTTCAAATATTTAAACACTTTTTATATCATTTAATTCTGGCTCGGGGGGAGAGAGAGAGAGAGGAGCTGCGTGGGGGCTGTGTGTGTAGAGTCATCCAGATCTGATTGAGAAAAGATATCTCCCTGTGCGTGTGGGGCAGAGACAGAGACAAATCGCTGTAGCTGAGTGACACGCGAACTGGAATGTGGCAAAAAAAAGGGGAAAAAATTAAAGAAAATGAGGGAGGGAGGCAGAAATTCGGAAATTCAGTTTTGGGGTTGAGACGTTTCTAGCTCAGGGTGGAGTGGAGGTGGGGGGGAGGGAATCTTGGAGCGCTGGGAAGTTTTGGTGGGAGTTTGGAGCCCAAGTTCCGCGCTGGAAGTTTGGGCTCTCCGAGTGAACCTTCCTGCTGCTCCCCTCGCTCGCTCTCTCTCTCTCCCTGGCGGTAACAAATAAGAAAAATGGGGGGGTGGGTGCGGGGGGGGAGGAGGAGATTGCCGCATTTATTTCTGTAAAAGAGTAAACTCACTATTGCAAGAGTTCATCCGCTGCATCCAGGGGTAAACCGGCGCGGAACACTTTTGCTCCTCGCTCTCTGCGAAGGCGCCCTTGCCCTGCGCGCAGTCCGGCTTGCGCGGCTCGGCGCCGAACGGGGACAGCTCGTCCAGGCTGCCCGGCCCGCACGCCGCCTCCTTGTCCCGGAAAAAGCCGCCGGGCCCGTAGTCGCAGGCGGAGCCGCGGCCGCCGAACGCCGCGCTGCTCTGCTGGTAGTAGGAGGAGGAGGAGGAGTAGCCCTTGTCCTGCGCGCCCGCGGCTCCATAGGTGCTGGGGTAGTGCCGCAAAGGATCCGCGTAGCCCGAGGGGTACAGCGGGATCTGTCCCAGGAAGGGCTCCTGCCCCGCCGCCAGGCTCACCGGGAAGGTCGAGTTGACAAAATAAGAACTCATCGGAAAGAGGAGAGAGAGAGAGAGATTCCCCCTTTTTTTTTTTTTTTTTCCTCTTTCCTTTCCCTTTTTTTTTCTTTTTTTTTTCTTTCTTTTTTTTTTTCTTTTTTTTTTTTTTTGGCGGCGCGTCTCTGTGTGTGTGTGTGTGTGTGTGTGTGTGCGTGCGTGCCGTCCCTTTTTTGCCCGGGCTTTATGATTTGTTGTGTTTTATAGTCCAAGTGGTTTAGCTATTAGTGGTATATCGGAGATTGGGTTTTAGCTGAAGGGAGATGGCGTGGTGCCAGCGAGGGACACAAGGAAATACAACCATCTGATCACGGGCTGACCAATAGCAGGCGCCTGAGGTTGCAAAATAGCACCCATGAGGAGCTGAGATTGCACCAGGGACCCCCAAGAACAAACCGTCCACCCCCTTCTTCCCTCCCTTTTAAACAACAGCAAGGCACCCCCTTAACCAAATATAAAATATCTGCCGAAAGAAGCTTTCTCCCGGCGCGCTGCGAGCTTCATAAATAAATAAACGCGCGCTCCCCCCCACCTCCTCCTCCTCTTCCTCCTCCTCCTCCTCCTCCTCTCCCTCCCCCGGAGCTCGGCGCCGAAATTTTTATATTTACACCCCAAAAAGCGCGCTCGGATCCCCGGCGGAACGGTGCGGAGAGGGGGAAACCAGAAAGAACAGCAACAACAACCAAAAAAAGATTTAAAAGTTAATTACTCGCGCTCGCCAAAACTTTAACCCCTGTGTTTGCGAAACGCCCGAGCGCTCCGCGCCGAGTTCCGCGCAGCAGGGCGGGGAAACGGGGCAGAAAAAGGGAATTAAAAGTTTGTTTTTTTGCGCCAAGTTTGCAGGGAGCGGAGCCCGCGGAGAAATGGGGTTGGCTCCGGCGGCAGAAATCGCTTCTGACAAGTTCGGCGGCTCCGCGCTGGGTTTAATTAGCGGCAATTAGCGCTGCCCGCCCGGCGGAGATGGAGCCCGGGGCTCGCTCTGCATCCGCCGCGTCCCCTCGGTGCCCCAAAAGTCCGCGTTTCGGGCAGAAAACGGCAAAGGGGAAACGGGAAACGGGAAATAATGGGAAATAATGGGAAATAATGGGAAATAATGGGAAATAATGGGAAATAATGGAAAATGGGAAATGGGAAATGGAAAATGGGATATAGAAAATGGGAAATGGGAAATGGGAAATGGGATATAGAAAATGGGAAATGGGAAATGGGAAATAATGGGAATATTTCCCTTCTCCTCCGGCCCCAGCCCGCTCTGCTCCAGCCGCCGGCCCCGCATTGTGCCCTCTTGCGTTTTTTTGTTCATCCCACCCCGCGCCCGACCTTTTCTGGCTAAAAACGAGCCCAAAAAAAGAGCCCCGGCTGAGGGAGAAAAGCGGAGTTTATCCATCCGTCCCCCCGTCCCAGCCAGTCCGCGCCACAAAACACCGAATTTTCCTCATTTAAACCCCTGCAAAACGTAGCGCAGAAAGTCTCCGAGCCCCTGAAAGCTCCACTTTGCTCTGGTTTAAATCTTATTATTATTTTTTTTTGCTTCGCCCGGATTTCCTCTCCTGGCTCTACCTGTGCATCCCCCCCGAGCTCCTCGCTGGCTCAAGGTGGAGTTGAAGCTCCTCTCGCCGCCTTTTTTTTTTTTGTGTGTGGTTATTGTTGTTTTTTTGGCTTTTAAAGGGAAAAAAAAAAACCACCAAAGTCACAGCAGCAGAAAGAGGCGGTCAAAAAACCAACCGAACCAAAAAAAAATTTTTAAAAAAGGAAAAGGGAAAAAAATGAAAATAAAAAAGGGGAATAAAAATAAAAGCAAAAGGGAAAAGGAAAAGAAAAAAGTGAAAGGAAAAAGGGAATAAAAAGAAAAAAGGAAAATAAAAAGAAAAGAGGAAAATAAAAAGTAAAAAGGAAAATAAAAAGAGGAAAATAAAAAGGAAAAAGGAAAATAAAAAGAAAAGAGGAAAATAAAAAGTAAAAAGGAAAATAGAAAGAAAATATGAAAATAAAAAGGGGGAAAATGAAAATAAATTGGGAAAAAGGGAAAGAAAAAGGGGGAAAAAAGGAAATAAAAATAAAAAAGGGAAAGAAAATCCGCCTAACTGAAGGCCAGCGCCACCCCCCCGACCAGCAGCGATTTCTCAAGGGTTTGTTTCCTGTCCCAATTCGTGCCCATCTGTCTGGCGGGGCTGAAATCCCTGGAAATGCGGGATTTGCGCGCAGAATTTACACTGCACATCTCGCACGGAGCTGCCAGCGCCGCTGCTCTGCCCGGGGCCGGAGCGCCTCGGAAAATCGGGATTTTATTAACAGCGAATCGCTCGGAAACGCCGCGGTTACCCCAGCCCGGCCCGGTCCCTCCGCGGCCGCGCGGGATCCGCAGAATTCAAGGAAATACCGAAATTCCAGGCGGAGGAAGTGGTTTTCCACCCCCCACCCCCTCCTGCAGCGATAGCTCCGATATTTGTTTCCCCCTTTTGTGTGTGGAATGCACCCAAAGTTACCAGGGTTAAAAAAAAATAGGGAAAATAAATAAATAAATAAATAAAATAAAAGGAGGTTGAGAGGGAGTGTTGAGTAGAGAAGAAGAGGGAAAAAATAGGGGGAAAATTTAAAAAAAAGCTGAAAATAGGGGAAAAGCGCTATTTCCCCCCTGTTTCCCCCTGTTTCTTTTTATCTGAAAGGAAAAAAAGAATAAAAAAAAAAGCTTTGCAGGAGCTGGGCGGTTCTGATGAGTTTCGCAATTTTGGTGGCTCTGCGATTATCAGGAGCGAGCAGCCCCCGTATGCAAATTTGTAAATTTTTTTGGGATGTCCTGCCAGCCCAGCTGGTGAGGAACAACCCGCCGGAAAAAAAAAAAAAAAGTAAAAATTGTTTACTTTCGTGTTTTCCGCCACTCCTGCCATGGCTCTGCCAATAAATCCCTCGAAATAATTTGGGAAAGCATAAAAAAATGGGGAAAAAAAAAAATCTCCCAGCCGCTGCTCGTTATGATAATTTGTGGTGGAAAGGGGATATTTGCAGGGTTTTTTGGGGGGTTTGAAAAGAAAATAAAACCGCACTGATTGAAGCCGGCCGCTCGCTAATTGCGCGTTGTGACATCTCTGGAGATTAAAAAATATCTTTATTCTCGCTCGACCCTATCGCTGCTTGCTCGGGGCAGGAGAAGAGGCAAACTTGACTCTCAAGGTGGGAAAAAAAACCCACAAAAAATCCCAAACCTGTCAAATTTTCCTCGTCCCGAGGGTCAGGCCCGCGGTGTAATTGATTTGCCACCTCTGGTACATTGAAATTCGAGCAGGGGGCTTAAAGCGCACTAAATCTCCCGCAATTGAGCGCTCGGCTCAGGGGTGGCTTCAATTCCCTGTCCGAGGGCTCGAAAATCGGAATTTCAAATTGAAACCGCCGCCTCGGGCCGCAGGAAATCCGAATTTGGCCCATTTTTATTTTCTTTTGGGCGCCTCCAGCTCGGGCGGGAGGAGAAAGTCCTGGAGTTAAAGCGGGATGGGAGGGCGCCGATTTCGGCCTCAAATTAAAACAAAAATAAATAAATCCAGGAGCTAGGTCTGCAAAGGAGCAATAAATTGGGGAGGGGGCTCGTCTTTAATCAGATTTTAGCCTGATTTCCTAAAAAAAACCCAAATTCCAGGCGCGAGTTCTGAAGAGGAGCAATAAACTGGGCAGGGGGCTCGGCTTTAATCAGATTTTAGCCTGATTTCCTAAAAAACCCCCAAAAATCCCAGGCACGAGGTCTGCAAAAGAGCAATAAATTGGGGAGGGGGCTCGACTTAACTCAGATTTTAGCCTTATCTTTAAAAGAAAAACCCAAATTCCAGGCGCGAGGTCTGCAGAGGAGCAATAAACTGGGGAGGGGCTGGTCTATAATCAGATTTTGGCCAGATTTCCTAAAAAAGACCCAAAATTCCAGGCACGAGGTCTGCAGAGGAGCGATAGATTAGGGAAGGGGCTTGGCTTTAATCAGATTTTGCTCCCAACTTTAAAAAAAACCCCAAATTCAGGCGCGAGTTCTGCAGAGGAGCAATAAACTGGGGAGGGGGCTCGGCTTTAACCAGAATTTAGCCTGATTTCCTAAAAAAACCCAAAAATCCCAGGCATGAGGTCTGCAGAGGATCAATAAACTGGGCAGGGGGCTCGTCTTTAACCAGATTTTAGCCTGATTTCCTAAAAAACCCCAAAAATTCCAGGCGCGAGGTCTGCAGAGGATCAATAAACTGGGCAGGGGGCTCGGTTTTAATCAGATTTTAACTTGATTTCCTAAAAAGACCCAAAATCCCAGGTACGAGATCTGCAGAGGATCAATAAATTGGGGAGGGGGGTGGTGTTTAACCAGATTTTAGCCTGATTTTAACCTGATTTCCTAAAAAACCCCCAAATTCCAGGCACGAGGTCTGCAGAGGATCAATAAATTGGGCAGGGGGCTCGGCTTTAATCAGATTTTAACCTGATTTCCTAAAAAAACCCCAAATTCCAGGCGCGAGGTCTGCAGAAGATCAATAAATTGGCAGAAGGCGCAGCCCCGATTTCAGCCGCCTTTCCCCTCCTGGCAGCCGTCACTCAGAGCCAGGGCATAAATAAAGATAAATTGAATTATTTCGGGGCTGGACGAGTTCTCCGGCCGCTTTTTCCTCGCCCGCTTTTCCTGGCCAGGAGCCCCGCGGAGCAGAGGGATGAGGGGATTAAAACAACACCCAAATATTCCCTAAAACAACACCCAAATATTCCCTAAAACAACAGCCAAATATTCCGCCAGGCCAGCAGAACAGAGCGCGGCTTGTGCGAAAAGCTGGCGCCGGAAAAGTTCCGTGGGTTGGTGCCAATAAAAAAATTAAACTCTCTTTCTTATTACTATTTTTTTAATTTTTTTTTTTTGCCTTTTAGGTTGGTTCCAATCAAATAAATGAAACTCTCTTTTTTATTATTATTATTTAATTTTTTTTGCCTTTTAGGTTGGTTCCAATCCAGAAAATGAAACTCTCTTTTTTATTATTATTTTTTTTAATTTTTTTTGCCTTTTAGGTTGGTTCCAATCCAGTAAATGAAACTCTTTTTCTTTTTTTTTCTCCTTTTTTTTTTTTTTTTTTTTCCTTTTAGGCTGGTTCCAATCCAATAAACGAAACTCTCTTTTTTATTATTATTATTTTTTAAATTTTTTTTTACCTTTTAGGTTGGTTCCAATCCAAAAAATGAAACTCTCTTTTTTATTACTATTATTTAAATTTTTTTTTGCCTTTTATTTTCTCACGGGGAGCTGGAACTCCCGACCCTTCAGCAGCGAACGCAGCGGGGGTTTCCCCACCGAGGGAATTATTGCGGCCATAAAGCCGAGCCAAGAGCACGAAAAGAGCTGAAAAAACCCCTTGTTCTTGGAAGGCAGACACAGAAAAAAACCCAAAAACCACTGGCGGCCGCTCAGCCGCTCCCGCACACCCAAAATCGCTCCGGAAAATCACCCCGAGCTGCTGCGGGCTCGGAGCGCTTAAAACAATGAGCCCCGAAGGTGTTTAAAAAAAATTAAATAAATAAAAAATAAATTAAATTTTAAAAAGATCGGGAAAGCGGCTGGGAGGTAATTTGCAGCGATTGAGGTTTAATTTACCTGGCTGCCCCAGCAGCGCGGAACAGCCTCGCTAATGCAGATGGAACGCGGCAATCAGCGCCTGCCAGGGCTTCATTAGCGAGGGCGGCTAATTATTAACAGGAAATCAAATTAAACGCGGGGGGAGGAGGGAGAGGGGGCACGGGGGGACCCCGAATGTGCCCACCCCGAACGGGGAGCGGGAGGGGAGCGGGAGTGCTGGAATTGGAATTACAGCCTGGAACAAATTCTGCTGCTGCTGCTGCTGATCCCGGGGGAAAGCTGGCCCTCCCCTCCTTTTTCTGATTATTTTATTTTATTTTATTTTATTTTATTTTATTTTATTTTATTTTATTTTATTTTATTTTATAATTTTTTTTATTTTTTAATATTTTGTTTCATTTTATTTTATTTTTATATTTTATTTTCATTTTTTATATTTTATTTTATTTTATTTTTATTTTATTTTCATTTTTTATATTTTATTTTATTTTCATTTTTGAATTTTTTATTTTATTTTATTTTATTTCATTTTTGAGTTTCCCCCACCACCCCAGAGCCTCCAAGCAAGAGGCCAGCCGGGGCTGGTGTAATGTGGAATTACAGCCTGGAACAACTTCTGCTGCTGCTCCCTTACAGAAACCTGGCCTTTCCCCCTCCTTTTCCTGTTTTATTTTATTTTATTTTATTTTATTTTATTTTATTTTATTTTATTTTATTTTATTTTATTTTATTTTATTTTATTTTATTTTATTTTATTTTATTTTATTTTATTTTATTTTATTTTATTTTATTTCACTTTAGAGTTCCCCCAGCACCCCAGAGCCCCCGAGCGCGGCATTTTCGGGGGGAAAAGCGGAATTATTGCGGCCCGAGCAGTTGCCAGGAGACTGCGGGGCAGGAGGAGGAAAGGCGGAGGAGGGAGGGAGGGAATTTTAAACCAAGGGGCGCGCATTGTCCCGGCAGAAACTTCAAAGTGACCCCCGCGACGCCCCCGGAGCGCGGACCCCGCCCGGAGCGGCCCCTGCGGGCCAGGAGGGAGCCCGAGCTCCGCGTTTTAGTGCGTTTATTGCGTTTTAGTGCGTTTTATTGCGTTTTATTGCGTTTATTGCGTTTTATTGCGTTTATTGCGGCGTTTTATTGCGTTTTAGTGCAGATTATTTCCCTTTAGTCCTTCTTGTTCCTTTATTTTTTCATTTTATTTTATTGTCTTGCATTGTATTTATTTTTATTCTGTTTTCCTCATTGTATTTCCTTTTATTGCATTTTATTCCATTCATTTCATTTTTCTCGTTGTATTTCATTTAATTGCATTTATTTCATTTAATCTCATTTCATTAATTTTATTTCATTCTGTTTCATTCTATTTAATTCTATTTCATTCTATTTCTATTTTATTTTATTTTATTTTATTATTTAATTTCATATTTTATTTTATTTTATTTTATTTTATTTTATTTTATTTTATTTTATTTTATTTTATTTTATTTTATTTTATTTTATTTTATTTTATTTTATTTTATTTTATTTATATTTTTTAATATTTTATATTATTTTATTTTATTTGCGCTCCCCGCTGGCTGCCGGCCGGGCGGATTTGGGGTTCTTCAGACATCACAACTCCTCCCCACCAACCCAACCCCCAAAAATCCGAATTTCCCCCGGTGCGAGGAGGAAGAACCACGGGGAAACCCGGGGGGGGGAGAGGCGAGGGGGCTGGGGGAGCCCCCCGGTAACACCCGGATAGCCCCCGGTATCCCCCCGGGACCCCCCGGTAGCCCCCCAGGAACCCCCGGGACCCCCCGGTAGCCCCCCGATAGCCCCCGGTAGCCCCCCGGGACCCCCGGTAGCCGCCGGCCGCCGCCGCTGACGGTAGATGGCAGCAGACGGCGCGGAATGGGCGAGCACCGGGGGGCCCCGCGGGAGCTTTGAGTTCCCTTTTATTTCCCTTTTTTTATTTCCCTTTTTTTATTTCCCTTTGATTATTTCCCTTTTATTAATTTCCCTTTGATTTCCCTTTTTTATTTCCCTTTGATTTCTCTTTTATTATTTCCCTTTTATTTATTTCCCGTTGATTTCCCTTTCATTTCCCTTTCATTTCCCTTTTATTCCCCCTTTATTCCCCTTTAATTTCCCTTTGATTTCCCTTTTATTTCCCTTTTATTCCCCTTTTACTCCCTTTTGATTTCCCCTTTATTCCCCTTTTATTTCCCTTTTATTTCCCTTTATTCCCCCTTTATTCCCCTTTTATTTCCCCTTGTATTTCCCTTGTATTTCCCTTTGATTTCCCTTTGATTTCCCTTTTATTCCCCCTTTATTCCCCTTTAATTTCCCTTTTCCCGGCACCGGGGGCACAGGCCAGCAGTGGGGACACCCCCAAATCCCCCCATCCCTCCCCCCACCCCAGCGGGAGGTTTGGGGCGGTTCGGCGGGGAAATGGTTAAAATAAAAACCAACATTTTGGACCCGCGGGGGTTCCACAAGTGGCCGGCCACGCGAGGTGTGGAAGAATCCCATAAAAATCAGGTTTTCACCTCCCATTAATTGGTTGGGATTCGGTTTTTTCCTCCCTTACACGAATAGGGGAAAAAAAAATAAATTAAAAATCCACCGCAGCGCAAAGATCAAAGATCGGGGGAAAAGGGGAAATCGAGGCCGGTGAGGGATGAAAAATAACAGGTTCGGGGGGGAAAAATCGCTTTTTAAAAATGTCTTTCTGTTTATGACTCGCCCTCATTTACCCTCTTGCACCCGATAATTCCGGCTCGGCTGAGACAAATCGCGCCTCATAAATCGGTTTATGCTGAAATAATGAATTTCCTCTCGCCCCTGCGCGCTCTCATTTTCTTACTTCGCACCCGCCTCGCCTCACGCCAAGATTCGAACGCCCACCCCTGAAATATCGAGGGGAAAAACTAAAATTAAATGAGATTTAAACCGATGCCCACTCCGGATAAAGGTTTCCCCCCGCAGGAGCAGCGCGGGCGCGGAACGTGGCGAGGAAAAGCCCCGGCACAGCGCGGGGGCAAAGCCGAGCCCCAAAAGAGCTGCAGAACGCAATTAAAATCCGAGTTTTTATTGCTTCCAACGTCAGCTTCATTTGGGAGTTGGAGAGAGAGAGAAAAAAAATAAATTACAATGAGAGCGCGGCGCTCTGGGCTGATTCATTTTTTTTTTTTTTTTCTCTCCTCCTTTTTTATTTTTTCCTTCCTCCTCCCTTTTTTGTTTGGTTTTTTGTTGCTGTTTTTTCTTCTTTTTTTTGTTTTGTTTGTTTTTTTTTTTTTAACATTAATTTCCAGGTTTCCCCCTCTCCTCCAAGAAAAATCCACCCACACACAACAACGACCCCGGAGAGCGACGCAAAACCCGACGCGGTTCCGCGGAAACTCGGTCAGATTATTGGACTCGCCTGGAGACGACAAAACCCCAAAAACCCCCAAAAAAAAAACCCCAACAAAACCAAACCCAACGAACTAAAACGCGACAAGTGCCCACAAAGGGCTCGGGGATTTTCAGGCTGCTGCAAAACCTCCAGGTGACCTTCCAAGGCTCCTTTTTCTCATTTTTTCATCCGTTCTTCCCTTTTTTAAAATTTATTTTCATCATTTCTCTCCCTTTTTCTTCCCTCATCCTCTTTTTCTTTTTTTTTTTTTCATTATTTCTACCTTTCCTCCTCTCGGTTTCTTTCTTTCCCCTCTTTTTCCCCACCTTTATTTCTCTCGATTGATTTTCCCCCCCCTTTTTTTTCCACCTTTATTTCTCTCGCTCTCCTCTCTTTTCCTCGCCTCCAATCTCCGCTTTTTTTTTTTTTTTTAATTTTTCCGCCCGAAATTGTCGCTTCCACACATTTCCAAATCCTTTAATTCCTCCTTTCCTTTCACCACCCCACCCTTTTTTCATCTCCACCGCCTCCTCCGCGGGCAGGAGGAGATGGGGACGAAAAATAAAAGAGCAGCTTGACAAATCCATTTTTTTCATTAGAAAAATAGAGAATATATATATATATTTACATATATCACAATAAATGAAGAGAAACGTGTTCTTCCCTTACCTTTTGGCGTCCTTTTCTGTGGCACGAGTGGGAATTTTGGGGCGGGAGAGATAAGCCGTGGCTTATCTGTTGGCTGACAAATATTGTCCCAACCTGAGCGCCTCCTGCGAGCTTCTGGCATTTTTCTGGCATTTGCCCGGAAAAAAGAGCAACTTCCCCCTCTGCAAAAACCGCTCCTGGTGCGCGGTCCCCTCTGCCCTTCCATTATTTCTGAGATCCCAAAAAAATATATATATAAATAAATAAATAAAAAATTAAAAATAAAACAGCGGAGAAAGCGAGGGGCGGGGGGGAGCGGGATTTAAAAAAATAATTAAAAATATTAAAAAATAGATTAAAATACCCAAAAAAATCGTGCTAATAACGGGGATAAAAATGTAAAAATGAGTCTGGGAGTGTTTGGAAGGAGCGGAGGGGGGAGCCGGGGGTGCGTGGGGCTGCGCGGGCCCCCCCTCCCCTCTGCCCCGCTTTACCCTGCCGAGCTCACACACAAAAGTAAAAAAATGTAAAGAGAGAGGGCGAGAGCCCTACAGAGGACACTGATCCGACCCAAGGTGCAGCGGACAGAAGAATGGTGCAATATAACCACATGGGAAATAATAAAAAGTTCATGTTCACGGTTAGCAGTCCACATGACCGGCTCTGGCCAATCCCAGAACCCAGCCACTCATAAAGTTCTATCACAAAGTTGTAAATTTTCATAAAACAACAAGGAATTTATTGCATTTCTTCATGACCGGTTTAACAGCAGTCTTTTTCTTAGCCGCCATCTTTTTTTATATATTTTTTTTTAATTTTTTTTTTTAACCAAAAAAAAAATTTAAAAAATCAGGGGGTCGGGGATTTTTTTTTTATTATTATTTTTTTCACCCCCCTCACCCCACCCCTGGCTTGGATATGGGTGGGGGCGTTGGGGAGAAAAATAAATGCAATAACGCCCGATATTCCCGAACAATGAACCCCCCCCAGAATAAAGAGCTGGAGGTTTGGGATGGCTGAAAATGGGGGAAAGCACCGTAAAACAGCGGGGTTTGGGGCTCGTTCGCCTTTTTTTGGGGTGAAAATTGGGATTTTCAGGCTGGGAGGGGCAGAGGGGGCTGAAATAAAGGCGGGGAAGGCGCGGGCGGAGCGGGCTCAGAACCCCCCCGGGACCCCCCCGCTGTCCCCAGGGAGGGTTTTGGGGTGCCCCTGCCTGATCCAAGGTTGGCTTTGCCTTTTTTCCCGGGAATTCGCCCCAATTCTCGCTCCCCCCCCAGCGCAGAGCTCCGGCCGGGGGGGGGGCGGCTCCAGCCGAGCCCCCCCTGCTGCGGGGGCAGAGAAAATTCTGGAACCGCTTCTGATTTGATTACTCTAATTATTCTAAAATTATTCTGGTTTTTGTTTCACCCCTCCCCGCACCCCAAGCTGGCGCTGCCGGGATCAAAAATGGGATTTTTTCTTTTCCCCCCTGGATTTTCCGCTCCAGCCGGGAATTTCGGCCGGGAAAAGCCGCGCCAGGCGAGCCTTTAATAACGGGATTAATTAGGGCCAGCAGCGAGTCTGGGGGCGCGCACATCCCTGGCGTGGCGCCGGAGTTTGGGGGGGAAAAAAATAAAAATAATTAAAAATAAAAAGCATCCCCGAGGGTGCGGCGGGGGCACGAAATCATCTGGGGGTGGTGGGAGGTGAAAAAGGCAGCAAAGGAAGGTTCTCGAGCTCCCTGAATTTGGGCTTTATTTGGTTGAAATTTTTAAAAAATATTATTGTTTTTTATTTTTTTACTTATTTTTTTCCAATTCCCTTCCCTCCGCCGAGTACAATTCCGCGGAGCCTTTATGCGCAGCGGAAATAAATAAATAAATAAACAAAAAAAAAAGAAAAAAATAAAAAAGGCGGGGAGGGGAGAGCCCGGCCGAGGCACAAGTGCTTAAATTTTAAATTTACTCGCCTTTTGTTTTGCCTTGTTGATTTTTTAATTTTATTTTTTTTTCCTTCTTCTTCCCCCGCGTTTAATTGCTTTAATTTATTTTATGCGCGCTTTGATGCTCGGCGTTATTTGGTGCTAATGAAAGAGTTCCAGTCCGCAGCGAAGGAATTGAAGGGCGGAGGGAGACCCTTAAAAAGAAAATAATAAATAAATAAAACGGCCAAAGGCGCGGGGAAATGGATCGGGTTGGTGCAAATTAGTTCGGAGAAGAAGAGAATTAAAGCGAGGAGAGTGGAAATTATTTGGGGCCATTCTGGGTTCTTTAAATTCTTTTTTTATTTTTTTTCTCTGCTTTTGCCTTCCTCAGAAATAATCCCAGCGCCACCACAGAGGGAGAGAGCCCAGCCCGCGCCTCCAGAGCCCAGAAAAACCAATTATTCCTCAGGATATTCGCCAAATCTACTGAAAAAGCAGCGAGATCTCGAACGGATTGGCTGTCCCAAAGAAAATGAGAGAGATTTGGGTGATAAATCGGGGTAAAAGGATATTTCAGCACGTTTATTTCCAAAGAACGTGTTGGTTTTTGTGTGTTTTTAACAAGCCAAAGAGGGAGGCACCCAACGCGCGGTAGATTTTTGGAGATCTCCTTTTTATTTCGAAGAATAATAATCACAGACGAAGGAAAATAATAATAATTATTATTATTAATAATAATAACAAAAAAAAGCAACGCGCCGCCATTAAATAATTTGCTACTTTGATATACAACATTTGACGTTGCACAATATTAATTCCTCTGCTTTTTCTCTTTTTTTTTTTTTATTTTTTTCCCCTTTTTTTCCCCCCCGTAGAGGCTCGAACAACGAAGGTAAAAATATCCACAGACAAAAGAGCGTCACAAGGAGAAAAGAACCACAGAGGTTACAGGGAGGAAGGAGGAATAATAATTCATATTATGTACAGGACTCTACGCGCTAAATGTAATTTGCATTCAGGCTTTCGGGTCACATTTTCTAAATTAAAGGTGCTAAACACGACCACGTTACTTCATATCCCACCCCCACCAAAAAAAATAATTAAAAAATACACAGCGAAGTACAAATTCCAGCGATTTACAAATTACTGCTGCTAGAGGAAGGCTCACCTAGAAAAAAACGTGTCTATGCTGACACTAAAGCCACATTTAATAGGTAGATATTCTAATGTACAAAATAAAGAAAACATAACCCAAACCAAAAAAGAGGCTCGAAGATAGGTAGTATTTTTTCTCAGTATTTTTTCTCAGTATTTTTTTTTCTCAGTATTTTTTTCCTCAGTATTTTTTCCTCAGTATTTTTTCCTCAGTATTTTTTTCTCAGCGTCATCAAACACAACGTATCCCTCCTAGGGGTTTAATGATCGATGCGTTTATCATTTATTTTTACATCCAGTCCTTTTTTTTTTTTTTTTGGGGTTTTTTCACGCGTGTTTTTGCGTTTCTCCCCTTTTTTTTTTTTAATTTTTTTTTCCTTCTCTCTCTCCCCTCATCCATCCACCTCTCCCCCCCTTTTTCACTCCTCCTCATCCTCCTCGGCGTCCGCCTTTTCCTGCCCGCCGGAGCCGGGGCAGGCGGTTTTATTCTCCTTTTTCCACTTCATGCGGCGGTTCTGGAACCAGATTTTGATCTGCCTCTCGGTCAGGCACAGCGCGTGGGCGATCTCGATGCGCCTCCGCCGCGTCAGGTACCGGTTGTAGTGAAATTCCTTCTCCAGCTCCAGCGTCTGGTACCTGGTGTAGGTCTGGCGGCCGCGTTTTCTGTCCGTCCCTGCCGAAAAAAAGCAAATTCGGGTCAAACCGGGGCGGTTTGGGGGCTGGTTTGGTGTTTGGTGTTTGGGTTTTTTTCTTGTTTATTTTGGTTTTTTCTTGTTGTTGCACAGCCCCAAAACTGCTCCTCTGCGGCGCCACCGAAGACAAAATCACCACCTGGGCCAATATTTCCTTTAATTTTGAGGTTTTTCCTGCTGCTCCAGCCTTTCCCGACCTCGCCCTGGCGTTCGCAGCCCCCAAAACACCCCAAACACCCCCAAATTTCATTTCCCTCCGTCTCGGGGCCGGCGGAGTCTCCGAGCCAACAACGAAGTCGAGAAAGTTTCCTGCCCTCCCTGCCCCGGCCAGGCTCCGAGTTCCTGCCTCGATTTTCAGCCAGCACCAGAAATTTGGGGTGGTTTGGGGGGAAATTTGGGGTGAAATTTGGGGTGGTTTGGGGGGAAACAGCCGGGCAGAGGGACAGGGACAGGGACAGGGACGGGACAGGGACGGGGGGACATCTGCTGCCCCCACAAACCCAGCTCCTGTCGTCTCCTGAAGCTGCCATCGGGATGCTCCGGTCTGGAAGGTGTGAGATGCTTTTAATCATTCCCGGAGAAATTTTGGGCATTTTGGGCACTTCTGGGGCTCTCAGGGGGTTTCTCCCTCCCCACCCAGGCCGGTTTTTTTGGGGTGTGAAGATGGGAACAGCCTCAGCTCCCCCCCCAGCAGCCCGCAGGGTTTGGAAAGGGCCCAGCTCCTGATTTTCCCCTCCGCCCGACATTTCCTGGATTCCTGGTCGGGAATGATTCTACAATCTGGTGTTTGTGATCGCGGGGTGTAAACTCTGTGCAGAGCTGGGGCGGATCGTGTCCTTCCCCAGAGCAGCAGCACCCGGCCTCTCCTTCCTCCCCGCATTCCACCTCTTCTCCCCTTTTCCCCCCCAAACTCGACCCTTTTACTTCTTTTTCTATCCTTTTTTTTACAATTTATTTTATTTTTCTTTAAGAATAAAAGATCCAGACATTAAAAGGAAAAAAAAGGAGGGGAAAAAAACAAAAAAAAAGGCAAAATAGCCCGGCCTAAGCTGTAAAGTGAAAATGTGCAGGTCGTGGAATGCGGGTTGTAAAATCCGCTGAGGGGAGAGCCATAAAGCGCTGCTGAATGGGGATAACTCCATCCCCGCTCGCGGATGGAATTCCGCAATTCCGCAATTGGGATCGCACCCTGGGCACCGGGAACGGCAAGGGGAGGGGGCTGCCAGGGGGGGACCCCCGTTTTTCCGCCCCGACTGGAGTTTTTCTGGTTTTAAGCTCAGCTGGTCCCAGAACATCCAGGTTTTTTGGGGTTTTTTTGGAGGTTTGCTCTTTCCGAAACCTCTCCAGCGCTGATCCTCGCAGCGTCGCCGGCTGAAAGAGGAGTGGGCGGGGGGGCTCCTTAAATCTAAAGTCGGATAAAAGCGGAGATGAAGTGTTTACGACCAGAAATATTTGGTCTTTGATAAATCAACTGTAAAAGCGGATGAATTATGGAGCAGGTAATGGAAAGGAGCGACCACCAAATAAGTGCGAGGGGAACTCCTGCCTGCCCAAACCGCTCTGCCCTGGCTGCTGCGCTCTTCTCCTCCTTCCCTCCGCTTCCCATCCCCAGGAGTGACCACGGGCACCGTGACCAGCCCCAGGAGTGACCACGGGCACCGTGACCATCTCCACGAGTGACCACGGGCACAGTGACCATCCCTACGAGTGACCACGGGCACAGTGACCATCCCCAGGAGTGACCACAGACACAGTGACCATCCCCAGGAGTGACCACGGGCACAGTGACCATCTCCACGAGTGACCACGGGCACAGTGACCATCCCCAGGAGTGACCACGGACACAGTGACCATCCCCAGGAGTGACCACAGACACAGTGACCATCTCCACAAGTGACCACAGACACAGTGACCATCCTCATGAGTGACCACGGGCACAGTGACCATCCCCACGAGTGACCACGGACCCAGTGACCATCTCCATGAGTGACCACAGACACAGTGACCATCCCCACGAGTGACCACGGGCCCAGTGACCAGACCTACGAGTGACCACGTGCACCATGACCATCCCCAGGAGTGACCACGGGCACAGTGACCATCTCCATGAGTGACCACAGACACAGTGACCAGCCCCACGAGTGACCACAGACACGGTGACCAGCCCCAGGAGTGACCACAGACCCAGTGACCATCCCCACGCGTGACCGCGGGCCCGGAACGGGAGCGCCCAGCCCGGCCCCGGAGCGCTCCGGGAAGACCGGGGGGAACAGGGCCGCGCCGGGACCCCTCCCGCGGGGGGACAGGGATATTTATTGGGATATTTATTAATCGCTAATTGACGTTAATGCCCCGAGGCGGAGCTGTGGGCAGCGCGGAGGGTCGGGACATGTGCGGGGCCGGCGTGACCCGGAGCGGGGTCACCCCCGGAGCGCCCCCGGCTCCAGCAGGGCCGCCTGAGCACCCCAAAAGGGCTTTCCCCGAGGGTTTTGGGGACAGAAGGCGCCCCGCTTTATCCGATTCCCATCCCTCCATCCCTCCATCCCTCCCTGCCGCTGTCACCGCTCGGCCAGCGCGGATTTTCCGCGGAGCGGGGAACGATGCGCCGCTGCTCCGGGACACCGCGAGGGGCTCCCGGACCGATCTTCGGCCGCCTCCAGAGAACACCCCCAGCCCTGAAAGCGCCTCCCATCGGGAGTTTCACCCCGGCTCCCCCTCTCCGTGGGCACAGCGGCGGCAGCGGGGGCCGCCCGCGACTGCTGCGGCTCCGTCTGTCCCCTCCGAGACAGACAGACACGGCCCCGATCGATATTCGGGGCTAAAAGCGCGGCTTTACGGCAAAGGGGGGGTGGGGGAGGACACGAGGGGGTGGGGGAGGACAGGAGGGGGTGGGGGAGGACACGAGGGGGGTGGGGGTGTGCGGCTCTCCCCCACCCACCCCTCCCTCCTCTCTTTCCAAGACGAAACGTCACGAAAGGAGTCGGGGACGACCCCCCACCCCCCACCCCCGTTCCTCCTCCGCACGCCAGCAAACAATCCACACTCCCCCCACCCCCCAGCCCCCTCCCCTCCCCCTGCCGCCCTCCCCCAGCCCCAGCCCCGCTCTGGGCTCGTACCTGTGCTCCTCATCCAGGGGTAGATACGGAAGTTGCTGTCGCCCTGCAGATCCGCGTCCCTCTGGTCGCTCTTGCTGCAGTTCTGCTTGGAGGCGTCCGGCGGGCACATCACGGCCAGGTTCTGCTCGAAGGGGGCACAGTGCACGTTGAAGGAGCCGGCCTCCAGGCCGTAGCCCGAGGGGTACACGCTGTGGGGCTGGGGGTGCACGGAGCTGCCGCCGGAGTACAGCCCGGGCATGGAGGCGGCGAAGGGCGGCGTGGATCCGGCCCCATACCCCGCTCGCTGGCTGCTGGAGGCGAAAGCGCAAGAAGTTTGCTCGGGAAACACTCCGGACGGGAAAACCGAACCGGCGGCTTGATATTTAGAAAATAAAGCGTTCGCATAATACAATGAACTCATAATTTGGCCGGGTGATTTGTAGGTCGGGACGTTTTAGTGTCGGTTTTACGAGGTACCGTGATATATTACGGAATTAGAGTCCAGATTTACACCAAAAAAGAGCCTTTTTCCTCCCGGCCCCGGTGACGCGCGGGCACGTGGCTGCGGCGGCGCCAATCGCCGGCCGCCCCCTCCTCGGGGGCACGGGACTGTGCGCCTGGATTTATAAAATATGATAAATAATTGATGCCGTATAAAACCCCGCACGAGCTCTGCTGGAAGGGGTGAAATTGTGCCGGAGTCGATAAGCAACCTGTAATCAGTTTTCAGCTCGGAGCGAGGGAGAAAGGGGAGGAAAAAAAATTAAAAAATAAAAAAAAGAAACAACATGAAAAAGGGGAGGGGGTTACAAGCACGTTGCTGATAAACCAGCCAGGCTCTCTCGGTCTCTCTCTGCTGGAGGAATGGGAAGGGAGTTCTATTTATCCCTTTATTGATCCCGTCTAAATTTCCCTCCTTCGCACCATTTCCTCGGCTCCGAGCTACTTTTTCATCATAATTCCCTCCCCTCCTCCTCGATCCTCGCCCCCTCCTCAACCCCCACCCAAAAAAAAAAAAAAAAAAAAAAAAAAAAAAAAAGAAAAAAAAAAGCGCAAATGTCTCATTGATACCTAATAGTTCCAGGCGGTTTTTTTTCCACCCCCAAAATGCCATCCAGCTCTATATCTGATTTATTCCAGTGGCACAGGCTTCGAGCCGCGCACCGAGCTGGCATTTTGGCATTTGCTTTTCTCGGTGGGGAAAATAAAGAGCGCCGGGCTCGCTTGTTCCGCGTGTCAGCGCTTCTGCGGGGCTCGTTCCAGCCAAAGCCAGCCCTGAGCAGCTGGCTGGTTCGCTTTCTGCTGGACAAGCGCAGGAACCGTCCAAAACCGCGATCTGACTCTGCTTTTTCTTTACTTTTATGTTTTTTCTTTTTTTTTTTTTTTGTGCGAGGAGGCGGTTTGGGTGGGATGGGGAGGGGAGGGGGGAATGTAGGAATAAATAAATAAAAAAACCCTCTGGGAGGCAGGAAAAGCAGACAATGGTGCGGGGTTTGTGGCGATTTCTCCTTCGCCAAGGTTACGAGCACCGGCTCAGCTGCGCTGCTGCTCCCGGGGCGATTTCCCGGCGGCGGGGCCGGGAGCGCCCCGAGCTGCCGCGGGAGGGCCGGGGGACACAAACAAAGGAAAAGACACGAAAAAATCACCAAAAACCACCGAAAACCGCGAGTTCCACGAAACGTTACCTGCAACAGCGAATTCCAGGCGGCAGCCCCAGCTGGGAGCTGCGAGGAAGAGGAGGAGGAGGAAGAGAAGGAGGAAGAGAACAGGAGGAAGAGAAGGAGGAAGGGGAGAAGGAGAAAGAGAAGGTGGAAGGGGAGAAGGAGGAAGAGAGGAGGAGGAAAAGGAGAAGGAGGAAAGGAGAAAGAGGAAGAGGAGAAAGAGGAAGAGGAGCAGGACGAAGAGGAGGAGGAGGAGGAAGAGGAGAAGGAGGAAGGGAGCAGAAGGAAGGGAACAGCAGGAAGTGGAGCAGGAGCAAGAGGAGAAGGAGGAAGAGGAGGAGGAGGAAGAGGAAGAGGATCAGGGGGAAGTGGAGCAGGAGGAAGGGAGAAAGAGGAAGAGGAGAAGGAGGAAGAGGAGAAGGAGGAAGAGGAGCAGAAGGAAGGGAACAGGAGAAAGAGGAGCAGGAGGAAGAGGAGCGGGAGGAAGGGAACAGGAGGAAGGGAACAGGAGAAAGTGGAGCAGGAGGAAGAGGAGAAGGAGGAAGAGGAGCAGGAGGAAGAGGAGTGGGAGGAAGGGAACAGGAGAAAGAGGAACAGGAGGAAGAGGAGAAGGAGGAAGGGAGAAGGAGGAAGAGTAGCAGAAGGAAGGAAACAGGAGGAAGAGGAGAAGGAGGAAGAGGAGCGGGAGGAAGAGGAGCGGGAGGAAGAGGAGCAGGAGGAAGGGAACAGGAGGAAGAGAACAGGAGGAAGGGAACAGGAGAAAGGGGAGCGGGAGGAAGAGGAGCGGGAGGAAGAGGAGCGGGAGGAAGAGGAGCGGGAGGCAGCGCGGTGCCCCGGGCCCTTCCCCTCCCCTCGGCCCCGGCCCTGCCCGGCAGCAGCTCCGAGCCCGGCCGAGGTTTTGCCTTTTTTTTTTTTTCGGCGGTGCACAAATTGACTTTTTAATTTCCTTTCTATCCCAGCGGTCCTGGAGGAAGCGGAGCAGGGCGAAAGGAATGATGTCACGGAATTCTCGCTTGTAAACTTTATTGTAACTTTTCTTCCGCCGCTTCCAGGTTTAGACAATAGAACAAAGTGGTGAAAGAACAACAAAATATAGCATTAGTTCCCCCAATAAAGTAATTCACGTATACAGTATACATTCTTTTTCACAGTTAACCTAAAGATCACTTTACAACTTGCTTCACTGTGCGCATGCTAACTAAAGGAGAGAAAAACGCCTTTTTTTTTTTTTTTTTTTCTTTTTTCCCTTTTTTTTTTTTTTTTTCCTTATGGAAGAGACATTGAAAAATTGTGTTAAAAAAAAAAAAAAGGAAAAAATAAAACACCCTAACCAAGGCAAAGAAGAGGAGGGGAAAGTGAAGAGAGAGATAACTATAGCATAAATAGGCAGTTTCATGTTGTTGGGATGTTTGTCTCAATAGCTACCTCCAGTACATACAGATAAACCACAATAACAACAACGACGACAACAACAACAAAATAATAATAAAAAAAAAGGATGGGAAATAACGAACTAAAAATCCAAATTTAAAAAAATTAAAATAATTGAAAACTAAAAAAGTGCACAAATGTAATCTCACAGAACTCCTCTAGCGCTGAAAGCTATTTAACCACCCACCCCCCACGGCCCCGGAAAGAAGAGAGAGACAGAGAGAAAGACAGAGAGAGAGAAGAGAATTTCACAGTCATGTTTTACAGAAGCTATTGCGTTACACTACCGCTAGTTAATAACTGGCAAAAGGCAGCCGAGAGCTCCCGGAGCCTCCCGCGCTCTGCTCATTGTGTCAAAGGATAATCGGGAAAGTGGCGCTTACAGCTATATTGTTTTACAGCAATAAAAGGGATTTTTTTTGTGGTTTTTTTTTCTTTTTTTTTTTTTCCCTGCTTCCCCTTTTTCTCTTTTCTACGCTTTGTTTTCCTGGTTTGTTGTTTTTGTCGTGTGTCCCCCCCCTCCCCACCACCACCCCCACCCCTCCCTCACACCAACTCTCATTAACGCGGGGCTCGGGGGCTCCTCCAGCCCAGCAGCGCTTGCCTTTCAGTCCTCAAAATTCCCTTTATTTCTTGTCCGCCTTCTGTGCTTCCCCTTCCTCGTCCACCTCCTGGGCTCTTTCCATTTTCTGTTTTTCCAGTTCTTCCTGCTCGCATTTGCTGCTGGGAAACTTGTCTTTGTTGTTCTCCTTTTTCCATTTCATCCTCCTGTTCTGGAACCAGATTTTGACCTGCCTCTCTGTCAATCCCAGGGCATGCGAGACCTCGATCCTCCGTTTGCGGGTCAGGTAGGGATTAAATAGAAATTCCTTCTCCAGTTCCAGCGTCTGGTAGCGGCTGTAGGTTTGCCTCCCCCTCCTGCGTCCGGCGGCTGCTGGGGGATGGCGAAGGTTGGGTGGGAGAGAAAGGGGGGAGAGAGAAGGAGGTTGAGAGAAACATAAACCAGGCTCGGGGAGAGGCACAAACACAAAAAAAACCACAAAAAAACCCTCAGGAAGGCAGGAGGGCGAGGGGGAGACGGAGCAGAGGGAAAAGGGCGATGGTGGCAGGGAAGGGAAGGAAAAGGGAGAGGAAAGGGAAAAGGGAGAGGGAAAGGGGGGGTCGGTCACCCTCAGCCCACCCCGAGCAGCGCGGCCGGAGCTGCGCTTTGCACGTTGATTATCACCCCCAGCACAACAACAGCGCGGCCCGGGGGAAAAAAAAACCAAAAAAACACCAAAACATGAAAATAAATAAAAGGCTGCGGCCCGAGAGAGGCGGCAGCGCGGCCGAGAGCCCCAGTCGAAGGGCAAACAAAAATGAAGGGGCTTTTTCAGGCTATAAAAGTGCCATAAACTTTAAGGACGCTTCCTTCCACAGAAAGCCCGGCTCGCTCAGCCCCCAGAAGAAAAGGTCTCCTTCAGGGTAATTAAACTATAAAGCAATTTACAAGTGCAAAAGTTTACCCCCATAAAGCACTTAAAATACAGTCACCGGGGGCGAGAAAAAGGCAGCGAGAGAAAAAGAAAGCCGGCAAAGGAGGGGGAGAGAAAGAAACGCTAAAAAAAAGAGAAAATAAAGCAGAGGGGTGGCGGGTTTAAAGGGGGGGGAGGTGGGGGCTGCTTCGGGGGCTCCTCGCCGCTCTCGCCTCACCTTGCGGTCGCATCCAGGGGAAGAGCTGGGTGGGAGAAGGGCTCTGCTCCGAGCTCTCCGCCTCCTCGAGGCCGCCCCCGGCGAGCTTGCAGTCGGCGTAGGGCAGCAGCTCGGGCTCCTGGCCGCCGAAGAGGCTCTGCCGCTGCAGCGGCTCGTAGCCGTAGAAGTTGCCCGGTTCCCCGGCGTGGCACGCCACGGCGCACGGGTTCTGCTGGTACGGGGAGCTGGAGAGCGACGAGGCGCCGTGGTAGAACTCCTGGATTTGGGGCGGGTGCTGGAAGGTGCCCCCCGCGCTGGGGCCGTAGACCACGGTGGGTCTGCCCCCGAGATCCTGAGCGAACCCACAGTCATAGTAATTGGGGCGCAGGGAGTCGCCGGTTTTGTATTTGGAGAAGAGTGAGTTGACAAAATAGGAGCTCATTTTAATTTCAATAAGAGGTTGTTGGTTTTTTTTTTTTTCCCGTTGTTGGTTTTTTTTTTTTTTTAAGCGGCAGCAGGAGGAAAAAAAAATTAAAAAAAAAATATTAAAAAAAAAAAATCGCCCCCACGACAAACCAGACCGCGAGAATCTATTAGCAAAAAAAGAAAGCGCTAAGATGCTAAGCAACGACAGTTTGTGATTTCCAGGAATATAAAAGGAGGATATAATCAAAACTCTAAGCCTGCATGATATTGAATTCTTTCCTCCCCCCCCACCCCTAAAAAAAAAAAAAAAAAAATCGCCACTTAAAGAGTTCTCGCTTTACATTTCCAAGAAGAGATGCCAGTTCATAAACAGTTTTCAGTGATTTACTTCAGCGCAAATGAGTTGTTTCATATTTTGCAGTGTCTTTTCATGATCATTTGCATCTATTACCAAAACCTCATCCTATTGGCTTCTCCTTACTCCACACGGACTCTGCACCGCATGATTGTGAAAGGAAGAGTGTGGGAGAATAAAGGAGGAAAAGCGAGCAGGGGGAGCGAGAGAGAGAGAGGGAGAGGGAGAGGGAGGGAGAGGGGAAGGGAGAAGGAGGTGGGGTGAATATACGGATTAAATATGTTTAACTACCTCCATTAATGAGATATCGCTCGCCTCACAACAAATCACGTACCTAGACCACCCAAAAGATTGATTTTTGGGGAGTGTTGGAAAATTAAAGAGGAGCGCTCGCAGTCGTTAATTTCAAAATTTTAACGAGGCAGTTTTAGCCTTTTTAAATGTCAGGGTCGCTTTGGAAAACTGTAAAAGAACACGATTTAATTGCTACCAGTTTTAAAAGGTCCTATAAATGTAATTGGTATTTTAATACAAGTTATCAAATCATACAGCTTCTTATCCTAAACATATTTTAAAACAAACGAGGTAGTCATATTTAACATTTTAATGATCAATTTCCTTATTATTGATAAAGGTTTAACTATCGCATGAAGGGAATTGCGTTTGTAATAGCCCCAAAAAAGGCTGTAAACTGTTTAACAAACTATAAAACGCCATAAAGCCGGGGATGTTGTTGTTGTTTATGCCGCACTCCATAAAAGCCGTTCGGCTTTTACGAGTCCGCTCCTCCGCCGCCGCCACCCGGAGCTTTGCAGCGGAGCCTTCCGCGGCCGCGGCCAGACGCGGAGGTGGCAAAATTGAATTAAAATCAGAGAGTTTTTCAGCTGCAACATCGACTTTTCGCCCTCGCTGCCTCCTCCTCCTCCTCCTCCTCCTCCTCCGCCAGGAGATGCGCTCGGGGATGACCCAAAACTCCGAATATTGAGGCTCTGCTCACCTCCAGAGCAGAAAACCCCGACCCCACCTCGCCCCCAGAACTTCCAGATCTTAATTTCATTATTTTTTATTTCTTATTTTCCCCTTTTTCCTCCCAGGGAAAGCGCGGGGGGGATGGGGAGAGAGGAGGGAGAAGCTTTTCTCTCTCTTTTATTGGCATCGGGGAGCAGCGGAGCCAAAGTTGCCCCTCGGATGCCATCGCTGCAATTTTCCACCGCCGGAACACACAGGGGGTAGATTTGGAAATTCATTTCTCGCACTCAGCAAATATTACCCAGACGTTTCTCAGTTAATAACGACTCCGAACCCCCCCGGCCCGAGCGCTGCCCCGGCCCCTCCAGAGCCCCCCCAGCAATTCCAGATGGATTTTCCAGCTTTTTCTGCCTCCCCTCCTCTCTTTTCCACCTCAATTTTGGATTTTTTTCCCCACTTTGCCCCGCCTGGGTTTCTGCTGCTTCCCCATCGCCTCCGCCCGAGCGGGGCTGGAGGCGAGAAAAGTGAATTTTAGGAGGTGCCCTCCTCCAGCTGAGGGACAAATTCAACCTCCACCGCACGAAAAAAAGAGGAAAAAGTTTAAATATTTCATTTTTTCTACCTTGGTTAAAAAAAAAATTTAAAAAATTAAAAATCCTCCCTAAAATGATCGGGGGGGAAAGGCAGGGAGCGAAGGAAGGCAGAAAGGAAGAGAGAGCGAGAAAGAAAACAAAGATAGCAACGGAATAAAACTTTAAACCCATCCTTAGAGAAATAATTGAAGTAAATACGCTTCCTTTATTTTGTGGAGGGATAATTCCAGCCGAGCCTAAGAGCCTTTTCGGGTAATTATTGCTGCTGGAGTACTTGCAGCGGTATAATTAAGGCTCTTTTCGCCCCTCTAAAAAGACGAGTTAACATTTTCTTTTTTCTCCCCACTTTTATTGCCGATTGAGCAGATTTGGGTTTCATCTCGCCACATAAAAAGCCCCGAAAATGGTGCAGAGAAGTAAACAGAGCCCCGCAGCCCGGCCTGGGGATGCTGCAATAGTCAAAGCGGGGAGAAAAAAATAAAATTCAAAGGGAATCGAGGAAAGCGATTTCCCGGCAGAAGTTTCCTCTGCAGAACTTTGGGAAGGGGGAAAAGAGCGCAGGAATTGGCGGAGGCCGGGAAGTTGCGGTTGGGAATGAGGATTTGGATTAAAAAAGAAATAATAATAATAATAATAATAATTGGAAGGCGGGGATGCGGCGGGAGCTCCGCCGTGCCCCAGAAATCCGAGGCTGATCCTAAATCACCGCCCGCGCTGCGCTCGGGATGCCGATGAAAGGAAAATGTTTCCATTGCAGGGAAAACCGAGCGAGTGCGCGGGGTGGGTGTCGGAGCGAGATAATTTATAAATACCCAGCGGAGGAAAGATTTATTAGGAATTCATAAGGAAAAGGAGGAGGGAAAAAAAATTAAAAAAAAAAAAAATAAAGAGGCTCAAATCCTTTCCTTGCTAAACCTCAAGTTTGCTCCGCTCCGCCTCGCGCCGAATGCACAGGGGCGAGATTTTTCTTCATTCCCCTCATTTATTTCTGTTTGCGCTCGTATTTCACGCCCCGGCGTTGAAATGGAGCCTCGAGATGCCGAAACTTTGCCTCTTAAAATAAGATTTCCCACCCTGCGCTGCTGCGTGTGGGTTTGGATTGTTCCGCCCTCACCCAAAATCTTGATTTTTGGGAGCGACGGGAGCGGTTTCTGGGGGAACTGGGGAGCAATTCTCAGTCAGGAAAAAACCCGTTTATACCAATTTGAAAGAAAACCCATCTTGAAATTATTGCCGCCGTTTGTGGCAGAAGAATTACAACATCTGAGTAAATTTTAGCCTCGTAATTCTGAGGAATCAAAGGCCAAAATCAAAGTGAACTGGTGGAGTTAAAAGTTGACGTTATTGCTGCCGCATCAGGGTGCATTTATTTGTACCCCAAAGCGCGGTGGTTTGAGAGCATTTTGGGTTAATTTACTCGTTTGTGGCATTTAAAAAATATATTTCTGAAGCTGTTAAAGTGAAGAATTCAAGCGAAGAGCATCAGCGCTGCCAAAAGATGGGGCAGCCACACCAGAAATGAGTGGTTCAACTTCTGAAAAACCAAATGCTCTTGGTTTAATGCATGGTTGAGTATCTTTTTCTTTTATTTTCTTTTATTTTTTTTTCCCCTGCGGTGGCTGGGATTATAAAACACGTAAAATATCGAGCGGGGAAAGCGCAGATCATCCTAACGGCCGAGGGGAGAAATATTGTCCCGGTTCTGCTCGTCCCTTTCTCCCCGAAATCTTCGAGCCGCTCTCTATTTTGTTCTTTTTCAAGCCCTGCAAACGTAAATCTGCGGGCTCGGGGTAATTTCAGCTGTCCTCCCGCCTCCAGACCAGCAGAAAACAAAACCCGGCGCTTTTTTATTCCCTTTTTAAACGAACATTTAGGGGAGATGCGCGCCCCACCTCTCCTCGCAGCTCCGCCGCCGCGTTGCCGCGGTGTTTTTCCCCTTCCCGGCGTCACATAATTTACCCTCCATCCAAAAAAAAAGCGGCGACGTGAGCTATAAAATGGGCAAAATAGCGATAATTAACCCAATATTTTACCTAATGGAATCAAGGTGTTCGCGCCCAGGGGGCGCCTCTAACGTGGAGCAACGGCTCCACCTCGCGGCCGCGCGCGGAACTGCAGCGGAGATTCCCCGGCCGGGGAGGGGGAAAAACCCCAAAAAAGGGGGAAAAAACATCAAAATAAGGAGCGGCGCTCCTAGCTGGGAGCATAAACCAGCTTTAAAAATGTAACAAGAAAAGGAGGGGAGGGAGGAAAAGAGGAGGGAAAGGAGAAGGATTTTTTTTTTTTTTTTTTTTTTGGGCGCCTCTTTGCCTCGCCGCGCTGGAGTTTTCTCAAAGTGCGGCAATAAAAAGATAAAAAAATCAAAAAATAAAAGAGGCGAAGCGGGTTCGCTTTTGAAACGCGCTATTGTTTCAAATTCCGAGACTAAACAATCGGTCATTCTGCTGCCCGGGAGGCGAAGAGGGGACAAGGCCGCGGTTGTAAAGTCATAAAGAGCTTCCCCAGCCCAGACGTCTCGCCAGAACTTCGAGTGTGCGAGCGCTGTTGTTGTTGTGTGCAGGCCTGGAATTGCTTGAAAGGGACAAAATAAAAGGCTAAAAAAAAAAAAGGAAACAAACAAAAAAAAAAGAACAAAGGGAATCATCCCCAGCGCTGGATTTTCACGGCATCTGCAAGAGAAGAATAAATTAGCAAAAGTCCCTCCCCACCTTTTCTATTTTTTTTTTCCCCAATTCTGATTTTTTGGGGCTGCCCCCTCCCTCTGGAAAAAAAAAAAAAAAAAAGGAAAAAATGAGGAAAATAAAAGAAAATTAAAAGAAAAATAAAAGAAAAAGAAAAGAAAATAAAAAAGAGGGGAACCTCGCGAGTGAGGCAGCAACGCCAGAGCTGTTACGCGCTGGGTTTCCCCGCATTCCCAAGTCGTTGGAGTAATTTAGGAGTTCCTGAAAGTTTTCTTGCACTGTTTCCTTTACAGCCGCTCAGTTCCTTAACCTTCAGAAATTTATACCCTATAAAGTTTTATAGCGGTCATATTCTTTTATTGCAGCGCACTGCACTGAATTTTCCTTTTTTTATGACAAGTTCCTTCCCTTTCTCTCCCTTCCCTCTGTAAGCTCCAAAATTCTTCCTTCTTCTTTTGTTTTCTTTTCAGAGCTGCCCCAAAGAAAGGATTTTCTTTTTTCTTCTTTTTTCCCTCTTTTTTTCCGCCCTTAAGAAGTGAAATACTGCCCTTTAGAGCGGCCCATTATGTTCAAAATTAGTGGGAGAGAGATTCTGGGTTTTATTTCTCGCTACCTGTTTCCTGCGGGGCTGAGCAGGAAATCCCGGCGGGGATTTGGTGGTTTTTTGTTAAAAAATTATTGTAATTAATTTTTAAAATATAAACCCACTTTCCAGGCACTCGCGTTGCTTCGTGAGCAAACGAATTTCGGGAGGGAATCGCAGGAATCGCTCTTGGAAAAAGGAGCCGCGTGTCAAATCCGAGGTGACGCCGAGCGGGGAGAGGGGGGTGGGCTCGTCCCGCTGGGGGTTTTGGGGGTTTTTTTTTAATTTTTTGGGGTTTTTTTGTGTTTTTTTTAATCTTCTTGGGCCAAGTTTTCCCTTGGGCGAGAGGGGAATAAAGCGAGGAAAGGTAAAAATCCCGCCCTGAGCCTTTTCCCCGCTCAGGCTCAGGAGGGAATCAAGAGATGGAACCTCCAAAAATAAGAAATAAACGCCATAAATTAAAAAAATTCGCGAGTAGAGGAGAAAAACGGGTGGAAATTCACAACCTCGGGGCTCAGAACTGAAAATGAGATCAAAAATTAAAAATCAGAAGCGCAGCAAGTGCGGGAGGGACCCCGCAAACACTCGCGGCTGGGAGTGGAATTATTTCAGTTTTCTGGGCTGATTTTGGGTAACCTAAACCTCCGAAAAAGCAGGAAAAGGCGCGGGAATAATTCCGGAATTTGGGGTGAAGTTGGAACACAAGGACAGAGCGCTGCTTGTTGTTCTAAAATCCATTTTTATTCTGGAGCATTAAAACATCTCTGGAAAATACACCCGGGCTGATGCTACAGAAAACAAATTTCCCAACATTTTATTTTATTTTTTTTTTTTTTAATTTTATTTTCTTTTTTTTCCTTATTTTTAAAAAGTGTTTCCTAATAAAATCAGCTAACATCTTCAATTCTATTTCCAAAAGAACCTCAGAACCGTCATCTTAAAAATATCTGCTCTTTAGCACAACTCTAAGGAAAGTGAGAAAAATCCGCTCCTAAATCCCGGCGGCCGATGGGGTCGCAAAAAAACCTCGAGGAACTCGTGGAAATTAAAAAAAAAAGAGGATTTTGGCAAATCCGGGCTCCTTTGGAGAAGGATTCACCAAAACTCGAGGAGAACCAAACCAGCCTGGAAAAATCCCGCCCAGCTCAAGCGTCGTTTCCCACCCTTTTTATTTCATTTATTCGCTTTTTTTTTTAATAAATCAGCATTTAGATAAATCTCCTGCTGCCCGCAGCTCAAAACGCCTCAAAATTTGATTTTTTAAAATTTTTTTCCGCTGGGTTTTTTAAACCCGGAGCGAAGTTGGGTGGCGCTGAGCTCCCTCCGGCAGCAGAGGGGTTAAATTTGGGAGCCACTTCGGGATGGGAAAGTTGGACACGAGGAAAACCCAAAATTTAAACCCCCAAAAAAAACCCCAAATAATTTTCTGGGGAATTGTCCTAAAGCCTCCAGCTCCGCTTTTTGTCAAACGGGGGGAGATAATTTGGATTTTTTTGGGGTTTTTTTGTTTTTTAACCCTTTTTAAGAGGGTTTGGAGCGGCGGAAATTTCAGCGCAGCTCCTCGGGTTTATCTCGGGGTGGCGGAGGGGAAAAAAAGAAAGAAAAAGAAAAAAAAAACATTTAAAAAAAGCAGGAACAGTTCCCAAAAATGCAAATCTTCGCTATCGCCGCCGCCCAGAGCAGCGCCCGCTCCGCTGATAAAAGTTCTGGAAACAGAATTTGCGCTGGTTCCTTCAGATAAACTGCAGGAAAAAATGACTTTTTTCTCTTTTTTCTCTTTTTTTCCCCCTCCCTCTCCCTGTTGGGATCTCCTCAAAAAGCCGAACCAAAAACTCCGCGCGGGAGGTGAGCGAGAAAAGTTTATTTCGATTTTTTTTTTTAATTTTTTTTTTTTTTCGGGTTTTTCCAACCGCTACCAAGTGCAGAACTCTTGAGGAAAAATACGAAAAAAATCTAAAAAATATAAATTTCACCAACCAAAAGCACGGCAGAGACAGAAACACGAGCACGAACCACGGGTCACGAACTAAACCCTCCCCCCCTCCCCTCCCTCCCCTCCCCCCATCACCCCAAAATCGTCCTCACAGAGAGAAGAAAAACCCCAAAAACCCCAAAAATCCCCCAAAAAGGGCTCCGAGCGCTTCGGGGTGAGGATGAGGATGGAGCCGCCGGGAAATCCTCGTTGGGGGCGACCCAAAAAATCCCCCCAAGGTCACCCCGAGTCCGAGTCTGGAAAAGGCGAGGGGGGAAGAAGGAAATAAAATAAAAATAAAATAAAATAAAATAAAATAAAGCCGGGCTGGGGTTGGCACTTTCATCTCTGCAGCAGCTCCAGGAAAAAAAAATAAAAGTCCCAAAATCCTCAATAAATTATAAATATCGAGCGCTAAGAGCGGCCGGCCCCTCCCTGAAAGCTCCACCAAGGTAGTTTAGTTTGAATTTTATTTTTTTTTTCTGTGTGTGTTTTTCTTGTCTTTTTTCTTCTTTTTTTTTAATTTTTTTTTTTTTTAAATTTTTAAACTAGAAAATCCCGCTTTTCCTCTCGGCTAAAAAGTTTGGGAGAAGTTGGCGGGGATCCTTCCACCCCTTTATTTTTTCTCCTGAATCTCCTAAAATTTGATTTTTTTCTCCTAAAATTTACAAGGCTCGGGGAGCGCCCCACACTCCCCTCCTCTCTCCCCCTTTTTTTATTTTTTCTTTTTTCTCTCCTTCCCAGCACAAAAAACCCCAAAATCGGGCGGTTCTGCCCCAAAAAAACTTTTTCTCCAAGTCCCAATTTCCACCAAAAGCGCGGCCGGGATCCAAACCCGGCGGAATAATTAAAATAATTCAAAATTTGGGTTGCAAACCGAGGTGAAAAATCGAAATAACGAGGGGGGAAAAGGGGGTACCCCAAATTTGGAGCTGTCAAAGCGCGGCCACCCCGGGCTGGAGCTGGAAATGATTTGTTGGGAGTAATTAAAGGCGAGTGTTAATGAATGTCTGTCTTGCAGGAGTTTAATTAAAGCGTCTGGGTGCTCCAGAGAGCGGCTGGGAGGGTTTGGGGTGGAAAAAAATTAAATATAAAAAATAAAATAAAATAAAATAAAATAAAATAAAATAAAATAAAATAAAATAAAATAAAATAAAATAAAATAAAATAAAATAAATCTTTGTCCTCGCGTGGAAAGAACACCGAGGTTCGGTGCTGCCGCTTTTGGGCCGGATTTTTGTTTTTTTGCTTTTTTGTGGAGGGAAAAATGAAATTAAAAAAGGGGAAAAGTTGTTCTGGCACTGGGGAGGGGGTTAAAAAAAGGAAAAAAAGGAAAAAAAGGAAAAAGAGGAGCTGCGCTTTGGGCTGGGCGGCACCAGAGGAGGAAAAGGGATTTAAAAATGAAAATAACCCAAATTTCAGATGGAACAGACGAGCAGGGACTGGGGGAGGATCCGGCTCTGCTTTTGGGGGAAAAATTGGAGATTTGGGGGCGCTGCCCTTCTCTCCTCTCCTTCCTTGTCCTGAGCTGCGCTTTGAGCTCAGTTACACCAGAAGAAGCAAAATTATTTTAAAAAGGAAAATAACCAAAATTTCAGATGGGGACTCGCGGGAGGATCCGGCGCCGCTTTTGGGGGAAAAATCGGAGATTTGGGGGCTCTGCCCTTCTGTCATTCCTTGCCCCTCCGAGAAGCTGCACTTTGGGCTGGGTTCACCAGAAGAAAAGAGATTTTTTAATGGAAATAACCCAAATTTCAGACGGCGCAGCAGAGAAGGGACTCGGGGCATGATCTGGTGCTGCTTTTGGAGAAAAAATCGGAGATTTGGGGCTTTCCCCTTCTGTCATTCCTTGTCCCACCGAGAAGCTGAGATTTGGGTTGGGTTCATCAGAAGAAAAGAGATTTTTTAATGGAAATAACCCAGATTTCAGCCGGAACAGCGGGGCTGGCGTGGAGGGGAGGCTCCGGCGCTGGTTTTGGGGAAAAAATCGGAGATTTGGAGGCTCTGCCCTCCTGCCATTCCTTGCCCCACCGAGAAGCTGCGCTTTGGGCTGAGTTACACCAGAAGAAGAAAAATGACTTTAAAAATCTAAAATAACCCAGATTTCATCCGGAACAGCAGAGCAGGGACTCGGGGCATGATCCGGCGCTGCTTTTGGGGAAAAAATCGGAGATTTGGGGGCTTTGCCCTTCTGTCATTCCTTACCCCAAAAAGTAACTGCGCTTTGGGCTGAGCTACACCAGAAGAAGAAAAGAGATTTTTTTAATGGAAATAACCCAGATTTCATCCGGAACAGCGGGGCTGGCATGGAGGGGAGGGTCCGGTGCTGGTTTTGGAGAAAAAATCGGAGATTTGGGGCTTTGCCCTTCTGTCATTCCTTACCCCAAAAAGGAACTGCGCTTTGGGCTGAGTTACACCACAAGAAGAAGAGATTTTTTAATGGGAATAACCCAAATTTCAGCCGGAACAGCGGGGCTGAGACTGGGGAGAGGATCCAGCGCTGCTTTTGGAGAAAAAATCGGAGATTTGGGGGCTCTGCCCTTCTGTCATTCCTTACCCCACCAAGAAACTGCGCTTTGGGCTGGGTTCACCAGAAGAAAAATGATTTAAAAATGGAAATATCCCAAATTTCAGCCGGAACAGCAGAGCAGGCACTCGGGGCATGATCCGGCACTGCTTTTGGAGAAAAAATCGGAGATTTGGGGCTTTGCCCTTCTGTCATTCCTTACCCCAAAGACGAGCTGAGCTTTGGGCTGAGTTACACCAGAAGAAGAAAAGAGATTTTTAAATGGAAATAACCCAAATTTCAGCCGGAACAGCGGGGCTGAGACTGGGGAGAGGATCCAGTGCTACTTTTGCAGAAAAAATCTGAGATTTGGGCCCTTCTGTCATTCGTTGCCCCACCGAGAAGCTGCACTTTGGGCTGAGTTACACTAGAAGAAGAAAAATTATTTAAAAATGGAAATATCCCAGATTTCAGCCGGAACAGCGGGGCTGAGACTGAGAGGAGGATCCGGCGCTGCTTTTGGGGGAAAAATCGGAGATTTGGGGGCGCTGCCCTTCTGTCATTCCTTACCCCAAAGACGAGCTGTGCTTTGGGCTGGGTTCATCAGAAGAAAAATTATTAAAAATTTAAAATAACCCAGATTTCATCCGGAACAGCGGGGCTGGCGTGGAGGAGAAGCTCCGGCGCTGCTTTCGGGGCGGTTTGCAGGAAAATTCGGATATTTTGGGTCACTCCTTGCCCTGCTCCTTGTTCATTTTCTTCATCTTCATGCGGCGGTTCTGGAACCAGATCTTGACCTGGCGCTCGCTGAGGTTGAGCAGCCGCGCCACCTCGTGCCGCCGCTCGCGGCTCAGGTACATGTTGAACAGGAATTCCTTCTCCAGCTCCAGCGTCTGGAATTTGCTGTACGGGCAGCGCTTCTTGCGCGAGGAGCGCGCCTGCAGCCAGCCGGCCGCGGGCTGCGCTGCGGGACAAGGGAAAAAGGGGAAAAAGGGAAAATTTAGGGGTTTTTTGGGTTTTTTGGGGTTTTTTGGGGTTTTTTGGGGTTTTTTTTGGGGTTTGTTTTGGTTTTTTTTGGGGTTTGTTTTGTTTTTTTTTCAGGGGTTTTAAGGAAATATTGGGGGGTGTTGGGGGAAGAGTAAAACAAAATAAAAGGAGATTAAATTAAATAAAATAAACTGAAATAAAATGAAATTAAATTAAATAAAAAATAGAATAGAATAGAATAGGATAGGATAGGATAGAATAGAATAGAATAGAATAGAATTAAAACTTAAATTAAATGAAATAAAATAAAATTAAATAATAAAATAAAATAAAATAAAATAAAATAAAATAAAATAAAATAAAATAAAATAAAATAAAATAAAATAAAATAAAATAAAATAAAATAAAATAAAATAAAATAAAATAAAATAAAATAAAATAAAATAAAATGGGATGGGAAGAAAAGAAAAGAAAAGAACAAAAAACAAACTCAAAACTAAAACCAAACAAACACACAAAAAAATCAAGATCAGAACCAAAACTAAAACCAAACCAAACCAAACCCCCAAAAAAACCCAAAACAAAAAGAAAACCCAAACCCCCAAACAAAAAACAAAACCCCTCCCAAACCCAATTAAAACCCCAACACTCCAGCCCAAAAAAACCCCTAAAAAATCCCCCCAAAATTAAAAAAAAACCCTAAAAGAAAACAAATAAAAACTCCCCCAAAACTCCACAAAAATCCCCGAAAAATCACCCGGGGGGTCGAGGCTGCAGGAAAATCCCAAATTTGGGGTTTTGGGGCGAACCCCGGAGAGTTTGGGGCCAATTCTGGGGGTTTGGGGGAATTTTTGTGAATTTGGGGTGAATTTCTGGGATTTGGGGGAATTTCTGGGGTTTGGGGTGAATTTATGGGGTTTGAGGTGAATTTCTGGGATTTGGGGGAATTTCGGGGGTTTGGGGGCAATTTCTGGGGTTTGGGGTGAATTTCTGGGGTTTGGGGTGAATTTCTGGGATTTGGGGGAATTTCGGGGGTTTGGGGGGTATTTCTGGGATTTGGGGTGAATTTCTGGGGTTTGGGGTGAATTTCTGGGATTTGGGGGAATTTCGGGGGTTTGGGGGGTATTTCTGGGATTTGGGGTGAATTTCTGGGGTTTGGGGGAATTTCTGGGGTTTGGGGGAATTTTTGTGAATTTGGGGTGAATTTCGAAGAGTTTTGGGTACACCCCGGGATTTTTGGGGTTCCACCCTGAAATTTTTGGGGTCCCACCCCGGGGTTTTTGGGGTCAAACCCTGAAGCTTTTGGGGTCTCCCTCTGGGGTTTTTGGGGTGAATTTCTGCTGGTTTTGGGGTCTCCCCCCGGGGTTTTTGGGGTGAATTCTGCTGGTTTTGGGGTCTCCCCCCGGGGTTTTTGGGGTCCCGTCCCAGCCCCCCACATCTCCCCCATCTCCCCACATCCCACCTAAACAATCCAACCCCAAAATTCCCTTTTTTCCCCATTTTCCCGGATTTGCCGCTCCAGACCCGGCACGGGGGGGGGGGGGGGGAGGCCTGGGGGGATTTTCCTGAATAAATCCTGACGAAATTTTTATTTTTTAAATTATTTTTTGGGTGGAATCTGGCCAAAAATCCCTCCCGGCTGCCAGAAACGTCCCCGGGAGCTGCTGCCGGGTCTGCAGCGTCACCCCGAGGCGGAGATGGTGGTAGGGCTGGAAACACAGCCGAAAATAAAAATAAAAATAAAAATAAAAATAAAAATAAAAATAAAAATAAAAATAAAAAAAAAAAAAAAAATAAAAATAAAAATAAAAATAAAAATAAAATAAAATTAAAAATATATATATAAAAAATAAAAATAATAAAAATAAAAGTAAAATAAAAATCAAATAAAAAATAAAAATAAAAATAAAAAAATAAATAAAAATAAATTAAAATAGAAATAAAATAAAATAAAATAAAATAAAAATAAAGTAATAAAAATATTAAAAATAAAAACTAAAATTTAAAAATAAAAATAATTTTTACAAAAACCAATAAAAATTTTTAGAAGTACATAAAAGTATAAATAAAAAAACTTAACGTGAAAGAAATACAAATTTTTAAATAAATAAAATGTATAAATAAATAAATAAAATCTAAAAATAAATCAATAAAATAAATGATAAATATAAATAAAAAATAAAAAATATAAATAAATAAAGTCACACTCGCGGGTGGGAGAAGCTGCGTGGGAATGGCTTGCCCCTCCCCAAAAAAAAAACCCAAAAAATTCAATATATGGAATATTTCAAGCAATAAACCCACCAAACCACCCTGCCCTGAATCTCCCCGTGCAAGCCCTGCCCCTTCCGAACTTTGCGCGGCTTTTTCCTGCGCTAATTGCCTTGATGGGATCTGCAGAATTAATTATTCAAGGGAGGAAAGCTGTTAATAATTGATATTTTTCATCCCGCCGCCCGGCCGTTAATGGCAGCGCTTCCACCCGCGGCTTCGGGGCTGTTAAAATGGATTTTAGTCGGAATTTTTTCATTTCTTCACCACTCGCAAATCCCCGAGCAGGAAAGAGAACGGGGAGAGGTCCTGGCACCTCTTACATTTTTATTTTTATTTTAATTTTATTTTTTTATTCCCCCCTCGAAAATAATTTTACGGTTTCCAGGCAGGGATTCATTAGGGAGTAAGAAATTTAAAATAAAAAATAAAAGGGAAAACGGAGAAATGGGAATCGGGACTCCAGCTCGAAATTAAATTATTATTTAAATTAAAAAACTGCAGCGCGCCCGCGCTGGCGGCTTTAATAAAGTTTAATTTTTTTGGGAGAAAATCTCCA